CCATTTTTACTCCATAGTTCAACCAAAGAATCTCTTTGATCAATCGTAACACGAGAATAAGGTCGTGTATTTATTTTCTTCTTTTTTGAATCCAATTTTCGGGGCCGACCCCGTGATCTTTTTTGAAGAGGTGGGATATCTTGATGGGGCAACATTACAGGTTGTACAGGTTGCCCTTGCATGGATAATGGTGCATTTTCATGATAGTCGTTTCTTGCTCCTGGATCTCTTCTGTCGATATAATCTAATTGCATGATATCATTTTTTGCCCGTTATTTAAATATACATAATTATGTTAAAAAAATATCCTCATTGAGAAGAGGTTCTAAATAAAAATAGATTAAAATTTAGTTATATAATAGTATAAATATAGTTACATATTAAGTATTTTTAACAAATAATAACTTGCTTATTATGTGTATTTTTATTCCTAATATTCGGGAATATCCAATAATTTGTAAAAAAAGCAAAACATTTTCAAACAAAAGTTATATAAGTTATCAAAAATCCTATATATTTTAGAAAAAAACTATTGATTTTACTAAAAATGTTGTATAAATTAGAAAAATGCCATATAATTTATAACAAATATAACCACTTTCATTAAAAGTAATATAATTTATAAAAAACACAGTCTATTTCATTAAAAGTAATATAATTCATTAAATACAATATAAACCATAAAAAATACTGTCGAAAATATAAAAACATAATCGATTTATTAAAAAATATTATCGATTTGAAACCAATGAGCACTGTATTAAAAATTTGACAAAATTTACATTTTTAATTTTAAATTAAATTGATTTGAGTTGTTGTACAATTTTGTTATAAACTATTGGACAACAAATTTAATATATTTAATATATATATGTGTTTATATTTTTATCCAAAATACTATTATGCCCAAACAAATACATATTATTTAATTTGGTGGAATCATTTTCGTTGTTAGTATGAAGTTACATGTTTAAAAGTTTTAATGTTTTATTTAAATTGTATTATATTTTTAATAGAAGTTTAAAATAAACAGTAAATTTTTATTAATTGTAAATATGTAACTTCATACCAACAACGAACAATTAAATTAAATTTTATTTTATTTTATTTTATTTTATTTTATTTTATTTTCCTTTTATAATTGTTGTGATGTTAAAGAAATACAATGGTTTCATTTTATGTGTTGTGAGAAAAAATATATTATGATAATTAAATAAAAATAAAACAATAAATAACACTTGTATATAATTGTTAATAAAAGTTGTTGTATAATATTTATGGATAACGACGCAACGACTAATTTAAAAAAGTATTATACTTTGACAAATTCTTAAATTATTTTCATTGAACAAACAATATGCCACAATTATTAAACACAAGCTCCAATCAGTAATTAAATTATCTATTTCTTTATATTTTATCAAAAACATATCAATAAAAATTTACACGAATGTTTTTTATTTACACATTCAAAGGTTTTGTAATGCCACTAACTTTGTTTTTGTAATTTATTAAAATGTATACAACTCAGAAACAACTTTAAACGTGTAAAATTATACATATATTTTTCATCGACTTTATTTTTAAAATCACAATATTATATAATTAAAGTAATTAAATTAATTTCATCATAGAAATTAATCAATACAACCTAATTTATTATTTTCATTGTTTGTGTTGTCATTAATAATTTACATGATATTTTGGTTATAAACAATTCTTAGCCGTTTAATGTCGTGTTTATCATATACTCTAATAAGTTATTATTCCGACATCTTTATTTAACATGATTAAATTTTTATATATTAAGTTGTGTTTGTAGTTAAAGTGTACTTTATTGTTATTGTGTCTTTGTTATTCGTAGTTTTATTATATGTAATGTTGTAATTAACAAACAATTAAACCAATTGTTTGGGTTATGACAAATGTATGTAATTGTTCTAGATGATGAAAATCATTTTTATCATTTTGGTTTTATATTATTCAATGTTTTAACTTTAAAATGTTGTTTGTTTTATTAAAAAATATCTTTTATTACAAAACTCATTTATTATTTATTGTATTTTTTATTGACTGTTCAAATCAAAAATGATACAAATTTTAAAAATGTAATATAATAAATTCAAATGTGTAACAACACATTCACTTCGTTGTATTTGTATGGCGATATCTTTCGTGTTGACAACGATATAATTATTGAACACAATAAGTATTTTTTTAAAATCGATTAATCGATTTTTTATATTTTTTTTCATTTATGAAAACTTTAATTTAATAACAAAAATAATTTAAGTAAATCAAAATGTTATTTATTTTTGTTTTTTCATCACAATCCAAAAATAAATTATTTTGATTAATGGCAAATTTGCCCAAATGGTCAAGTTTTTGATTGAGTGGATACTTATATAGTAATTTAAATAAAAACTATATTTTATTATTTTAAAGAAATTTTATTTTATTATTTAAAAAACCATTGAAATAGTAAATTATTTTTTAGTGAATTACTTTTATAAAAGTGAGTCAAAAAGCGAAGTAGTGAGTCATTTTTTGACAAGTGAGTTTTAAAAGTGAGAGGTGAGTTAATAGCCAGTATTTTTGAACAGTTGATTTGAAAACTATGGATATATTTACAATAAAGTATTTAAAAAAGTATTTTAAAGTAAGTTGTTATATATATTTATACTCTAATAATCAACTCTTTTGTTTTAAAAAAAATACAAAAGAATAATGTGATCAAATAAGAGTTATAAGTTTATGTAGTGTGGGAAATGTTTAATATATTATAAATTATCATCACGTTGGTGTGAAATTTGAATATCTTTAAATAAATAAATTATCAAAACCAAATGTAAACTTTTATTATTTGTCGTTGTGTGACAGAATGATATTTGTAAAAGTTTCAAATAAATGTAACAATAATAATTGTTATTGTTTCATTTGTAAAAAGTGTGTATTTCGTAAAAAAAAATTGTTAATATTTATAAAAAGTAAAATTTAGTGTTGTTAGTATAAGTTTTAGGTTGTTTAAGTATTGTCATATTTTTTATTGATGAACATGCTTTTAACATTTTTGAATTTAAATGTCGAACAATAAATAACAACAACGTTATTATATTATTTAACAAATAAAATAATTAAAAAAAACTTTTTCATTGAAAATTAAATAGAAACGTTATCATCCAGTTTCAAATCAATATACAAACAGATTTTAACGTAAATAGTTGAATTGAAATAATAACAAAATTGGTTGAAATTAAAGTTTCTGTTGTAAAAAGAAATTGGATATTCAGAAATAATATACTTGATTGTGCATACACTTTTTGTTTGAATTTCTATATTATTATTGTTGATTTTTAAAAAAAATTATAAAATATTGAATAATATAATCAATTTGGTTTTAATATGAATAAATAAAAAATAATAAATGGCTTTGAATTTACTATTTAAGATAAATAAAAGTGTTTGTTTTAACATGTTTTTGAGTTGATCACATATTTAAAAAAGAAATTATAAATTGAGAATTTTTTTAATATTCTTTGAATTTTAGCAATAATTTAATTAAATCAATTTTAAACTTTGCAAGTGTAAAATAATTTGCACAAAAGATATACATATAATAGTAATAATTATTATAAAATTTAGAAATTTTATAATTTGAGTTTTTATAAATAAACAAAATTAACCATTGAAAAATTGTTTGATACTAATATAACAATAAATAAGAAATTTATAACTTATATAATCAAATAGTTAAAAATTAGTTAAATTAATTAATGAAAAAATAAAACACCAAATAATACAATAAAAAATTTTTAAAAGTTCATCAAATAATATAATAAAAAAGAACCAGCACTTTTCATTAATTCCAATAATTGAATTGGTAATATTCATTGCACTTAAATTGTTATTTTGTTTATTTTGATTTGTTGATCAATTATGCCATAAATTGATATACGCTCTGTAACTAATAATATGAGTGATAATAATATAATGTTATATAACAATGATCTTATAATTATCATTGCACTATAAAAAAATGAACCAAGTTTTTTCACAAAAAAATAAAATAAACAAAAAAACAAATGGTTGTTTGTTTTCGAATCAAAAAGAATATATTTTTGATCTGAAAAATAGTTTTTATATTATTTTAAAAAAATAATTACTATTCAATTATAACAAAAATAATAATTATTATTATTATACGTTTATACAATTCTTTTTATTTAAATATTCGGGATATATTTTTTGTTTTTTTAAAAACCCTAAATAATAATAAAAATAGAAAAATGTCAATTTTTTGATTGTTTTTTAGCCCATAAGTGTTATATTACAATATGAATAAAAAGTGAATTGTGCAATTTTGGGATTTAACTGTTTTGACATAATTTTTAATGTTTAAAAAAATCAGTAATTCGACTAGTTTATTTTAATAGTTAAAAAAACTATATGTAATTGTGTTTGTTTATGAAAATAAGAGATTCAAAAAAACATCAACTGAAAATGGTTTAATCATTTCAGTATAAACTGTTATATTCATTGTGCTAGAACGTGAATTTCATTTTTAAACATATTTTGATTTTTTAAAAATGAACAACTTGCAGCAGATTTTAAAATTTTGGTTGTCTGTCTGTTTGTTTTGTTTTTAAGAGCTTAGGCATTTTTTTACTATTTTTATACGCCCCGAAATCAAACATAAAAATTGGCTGATATAAAAAGTTGGTTTTAGGGTATTTTTCTTGCAGCTAAAAACTCATCATTTTCATTAAAAAGTCATATTTTTCTCAAAATTTAAGCTTAAATGCAGTTTTGGGTTTTAATATAATTTTTCTACTAGATTTTTCGAACCATGTGATAACCAAATTAAAATAAATATCGTGTTTTATTCGTTTTTTGATACTTGTAAAAACTTTACAAATTAATGCATCTTGAAATTATAATTGAAATTTTACAATTAAAAAGTTACAAAACTTAAATACTAAAAAAGCTTTGAAAAATAAAAAATGGACGGCGCCATCCCCACACGGCCAGGGTTTCTGTTGAACGGCATTTTCTTATTTAAACCGAATGACATGCTCAGTTTTGACTCGTCCACAACCAGCCCTTTTTCCGTTCCATTCCGTCTACCAATTCACTCAGACAAAATTGACACAACTCTTTTTGAGTTTGCCTTTCCTGACAACGACCTAACTTCTTCAGAGAAAAAGACAGATCACTTCACTTTTGTTCTGACAGATTTGGATGGCCGAAGATCTTACTGTTACTGTCGGAGGGAGTTGCACCACACGTCTCAATGTTTGATTTTCGTGTCGCACTTTAAAAAGTTTTCGTTGATATACGCGATGATCGACTTTTTATTTGCGAAGCAAGAAAACCCCGAGTTATTCTCCCAAATTGCTAAAGACTTTTTCGAAGCGACGTACCCCTCTGCCTCGTCTAAAATATTTTCTTCCAAATTCAACTATTCCTTTTCAACATCTTCCCGCGACAACGTAGACCCCCCATACATTGTTTCCTCCTTTTTCCTCAAATTATTTGGTGCGTCACTTTTTGTCGACGTCTTTTCAAACTTGCTTTTAGAACGGAAGTTTATATTCATCTCCGAGTCGTTACAAACACTTTCAATCGCAATTCACACATTCTCATCACTCATACATCCTTTTGTTTGGCAACACATATTAATTCCAATTCTTCCTCCAAAGATGTTAGACTTGGCTCATGCACCGATGCCATTCATTATCGGGTGTACATCATCAACGTTTCTCCAACTAGCCGAGGAGGTTGACATTTCCGACGTCTACGTTTTCAACGTCGACGCCAGAGAATTCTTGAGTTTCCCCGTATATCCACTCCTCTTCAATACCGTGCGTTCCGTCTTTCTCAAATCTTCCCTTTTCAAGGTCCAGAAAAATATTATGAGTTCCAGCTTAAACAAAACAAAACCAACCGAAAACTTTGACGTATTGGTCTCCGACTTTTTATTCCAGTTCCTTCGCGACTCTTTTAATTTCTACCCAACTAAAATCGAGATCGACACAAAGTCGCCACGTCACACAAAAACGATTAAACTCGTTGGCGATGAACACCCGGACAAAACGTTTCGACCATTTTTCACCGAGTTTCTGAATTGTCAAATATGTGACGTGTACTTTGCAAAACGGGAAGAAGAACTCAATGCCGGAGAAGATATCACAAAGATTTGTCCGTTATTATACAATTATAGTAATTTTACGATATTTTATAGTAAATGTTATGAGATGAGTAGTTTCTTTGGTTACGCGAATGTGCGTTGCAGAAATTGTGGGCTTCCAATTATGAACACGGCTCCTTGCACTGTAGAGTGCGGTGGGATATGTCATGTTGAATGTTTTAGGTGCACAGTGTGCTGGAGGATCATGCTTGGGGATTTGAGCCATTCCGAGATTGTAAAGGGTGGAACGTGTGTATGTGTGTTGTGCAAAAAAAGTGGGAGAAGTGGAATAAAAAGATCAGAGAAGGAATATCAAGATGCATTGAGTAAAAAAGAGAAGAGTTCACTTGTAAATTTGACGGAATACATCTCATCAAAAAAAGAAAAATATAAAAAAAAGAATACCGTTGTCTTTGATCGAGTAAGTGCAGGTGTCACACCTTCACCAATTGTACCAAGTTCCACAAACACTCCAAGGGAGGATCTCAAAAATCAAACCAAATTTTTTGACTTCAATGTGGCGGAACGAGCAAGATCAACAGCACCTTCCATTGCATTCGATTTTCTTGGAAATCAAAAAGAAAGTTTAGAAGGATTCGAAGATACGGAACGAGATTTTAATGGTGGAACGAAACAACAGAAGAGCGAAAAAAACGAGGGAAAGCAACACAAAGTCGACGACATCTTCGCGCTTTTCGAGAACAGTACCAAAGATTCGGTCCAAACCGAAAGAAACACTAAACCACTAAATGGTGGAAGAGAACTTAAAGCTCAAAGCATTGATGACTTTTTTGACTTCAAAAAATCTCCGTCAGGTTTTGATGTTCTTGGAACGAATACGGACATGGGGAATAATACGAACTCCGGAAAAGCACAAACCGAACAGGAGAAGCCGCTATTTGATTTGAGCTTTTTGTAAAAGTTACATCTAATTGGGATATGTTTACTCAACATCTTATTAATCAGTCAACTTAACTCGTTGAAAATTTTTTAATAATATTTTTTAGTATTTAACAATTAATTGAATTAAAAAATTGATTATTAATGGTAAATTATTACTTGAACTACTAATAATAAGAAATAATTAAAATAATAATAAAAATAAAACGAAATAAAACAAACATTCCAAATGTTTGGAAAGCACATCGAGACGTGGAAAGTCATGTGCGAGATATCAGACATGGTTCTGACCTTAAAAGGGGTATCTGGGTACATGTTATTTGTTCAATGGAAGTGTGGCGAGAAGAGTGGCAAAACGGAGCGGTGTGTGTGTAAAGAGGGACGTGTTGATTTTGGTGGGTTTACGTTTGATGACACGATTCAGCGAGATGCGAAGAAGTACACCTATCTGAAGAAGCCGTTAATGCTTTCGTTAATGAATGTGTTGAAGAGTAAGAATTCGTTAGTAGGTAAGATAGAAGTCGACCTGTCGAAGTATATGGACTCTTCTGAAGATAATGAAGTTGAATTACCCATTTCAAATGGGAAATTGAAGTTCCATTTAATAACACAGACGGACGCCACTGTCATTCAAGGGACTGAAAAACTCGAAAATTCGGAGGACGTCATTGCGCAGATCGAACAACTTAATGAAGACATCCAAGGACAATTGGAAGAGGAAAAAGTACTGACAGACAAGTTGAATGAAATGGCGACCGAAGTCAGTTTTATGAAACAAAACAGAGTCGCGGAGGGCGATATCACACAAGAAGAGAGCGAATTCATACTCGCGGAGATATTTTTAAGTAATATGTCGTTTTCGGATAAACACCACCCACTCACTGCAGAAACTGTTTGTCGTTATATGTCGTTTCTACTGACTTTTTTATAGAAAAAGAAGACACATTGCATTGGTTTGAATATCAAGAAAACATAATCTTGACCATTTGAGGCCTTACGTGTGAGATGATGTCTTTAAGATTTATAGACATAAATCATACGAATGAAAATTTTAAGCACAATTAATGGCACGTGAGAATACAAATGACTAAGAAATAGATTTTTGAGAAGTTAAGTGAGGGCCGTTTAGTGAAAAGTGAGAAGACGAAGTTTCTGAATAAAGTAGTTGAAGTTCTTGAGAAAATTTCAGTGATGTCTTTGGAAACGCCGACACGGAATGTATATTGGCTTGGCGTCACAACACTACTCACGAAACAAGTCAACAACGAAATCATTCCGAAGAATCGAAGCGACAAGGAAGCACACAAAGCTTTTGTTAAAAACTTGTTTGAAGTCCTCAAAAAAAGTATTTTATTAGTTTATAATGAAATTGAACCAAAAATTCGAGAGAACGTCATCCCTTTCTTCACTGATATGAACAAAACGTTTGTGTTGTGTGACTTTTGTTAATATCTTAGGAAATTTGAACGTAACATGATAACTGCTCTGACTAAGTTTTTTTTTCAAAATGTGTAATGCTTGAGTGTTGAAATGAATATTTTAGAGAAAAAGAATAGCACGTAAGCATTTGAATGATTAAGATAAATAATACAAAAGACTAACGAGATAGAAGAGGAGCCGTTTCTTCATTTGAGCCATTTAAAGAGTATTTGGATGTTATGAAGAAAGACCATATTCCAGAGATAGTAGTCAACTATTTCATCCGACTTTTTATCGATCGATTTGATCGAGTTGTATTCAACCATTTGATGAGTCAACGATCTGTGAAGACCGATCTCGCCATTTTTGTGAAGTGCCAAATTGCCTCGTTCTGTGAAATGATCAGAAAATTCTCAACGGAAATGTTCGAAACGTATTTCACGTTACTGCAATCATTTTGCGTCATGTCGATCGTATCACTGGATACTGTCACTGCACTCGACCTCTCAACATCTGTATGTCCAGCTCTCTCTTTCAAACAAATCTTCGATATTATCGCCAAATTTGAACCTCCAGTGTTTGTTCTCTTATATACTAAGTAATAGAATAATTATAATAATTAATAGTTAATACTATTATCAGAATTAATAGAAAAATTATAATAATTATACTATGTTTGACGAATAGAAACATTGTCTCGGTAAATAAAATCAAAAACGGAATGAGAGGTATTGAAGATAAACAAAACGCAGTGACTGACGAAAACGAACACGCAGAACTCATTGCAAGCGACTTGTTTAATTCATAATTTAATTCGTTTAGTACTTTTTTTATTTTTTAAATCTTTTGGATGGTTGTAAACAATGATGTGTTACCACGTAAGCATAAACAAAAATATTTTTATTTATTGTAATTATTATAAAAATTAAAATAAAAATAAACGAAAAATCAAAAAAAAACATTTTGTTATTTTATTATTAATTTTTAATAAAATTTTAATTTTAAATTACAAAAAAAATAAACAATTTGTCACAAAATGTCAAAATCAAGATAAAAACCAGTCAAACCAATAATAGTTATGTTTTCGCACGTTCCAAAAAGAATATTATTTTTGTGTGTTTTTTAAATAATAAATTTATAAAATTTTAATAGATTTATAATAGTTTGAAAAATCAAAAATAGAACAACAAGAAATAATGAAACCAAAATATAAAAATAGCAAAAAAATAGGTACAAAAAAACAAACGAATTAGTTTGTTTTTTTGGACATATTTAAACACTAAAATACATAAATAATCAGATGAGAAGATTAACGAAGCGAAGACGGCGATTTGTGTTATTTGTAATCCGACAGAAAGAACGATTTGTAGACTTTATTGTTCGAGTGAAAGAAGAGCATGCATACCTTCACCCCCCAATTCGACTCGAGAGTGATTAATATGGTTGTTTTCTTTTAGTTTCTTTATTATTCTACTATTCAATATTGTACAACTAAACAATATCAAGTAAATTAATTTAGTATTAATTGTAGTTTTTTATAAGTTCTTTTTACTATATTATTATGTTGGTTTTACTTCGAATCAATAAAATGTTCTAGACAGAATATTTCATCGTAGGAAACAAACAAGAGATAGAAGGCAACCGATGTATCAAAAAATACAGTATTTATCATGCAAACAAAATACGCATCAAAAAGAAGTATAAAAGAACGGTTTGTCGAATTCATAAGACGACAGAAAGAACATCTGATAGACATCGGATTGAAGCTGAGAGATAACGACTTCTATTTACGGCCGTCTCGGGTGCTTGAAAATAATTAACAAATGCCCAGGTGTTTGTTGATATATTTACTGTTCTTTATTATTCTTTTTTCTCGTCTTTGGAGTATACAACTGTACCATATCTCTAATTTAAATTTTCATATTTTTTTAATACAGTATCATATTTTTTTGTTTTTTAATGATAAAAATGGAATTAATCAAAAGTTCAAACATAAATAATAATTAAATTTGTCAAATTGTACAAATTTGAGAATATATTTCTATAGTTAAAATGTTTAGTTAAACTAATTATATTATAACTAAAGTGGCCCAACATAACCAACATTTTTGAAAAATATTAAAATCATAAAAATTATAAAATTATACTATTTGGTTTTTTTATTAGTTTTGAATAATTATAATTTAGAACTATCACCAACAAATAAATATTACTCAAATATTACAAAGTTAGTTTTATAATTTTTTTAGTTTCATTTTAATTTAATAATAATATATTATTAATTATAATATTTTTGCAATCAAAACTTACAAATTGTTATATTCATAATTAAGAAATTATAAATTAAATTATAATAAACCAACTATTAATGGTTCATAAATATTTATCAAATTATATTAGTTGATTTCTAATAAATCAACTTGTTTTTAACTTTGTTTTTAAACAACAATTGAAAAAAAAATATGTCAATTTATATATTTTTTCGAAATAATAAATTACAATAAATTTACTGTCGAAATTACCAAAAATAATTTAAATAAAATTAAAATTTTTTAAAAATAAAATGAGCAAAATTAAATTGTAATTGTTTGGTGTTTGTAGTTTTTTTATATCTTTTTATTTAAAGGTACACTTTACTGTTAAAAACACGTTATAAACATAAACATACATTTAAAATATATAATAACAACAAAGTAAATATTTGAACACATTAGACATCTAACCATTTGACGAATTATGTTCATTTAACGGTTAGATGTCAATAATTAATTAAATACTGTTTGAATATGTTTATTCATCAACTTGTATAAAGTTTTATTTGCTTCAATCATGATGATACTCCTTTTCTTATTTATTCAAAGTGTTTTTCCTTATTGTGGAAGTGGGTGTTTGGAATGCATAACACCACCAAACCATAATGATCAAGTGTGTAAAAAATGCAAAAGTAATTACAAGCAGACATCATCTTGTACTGAATGTAAAATCTTTAATCCATACCTAAATTTTTCGGAAACAAATCAATTGATTTTGATGTACAATAATAACTGTATGGTGACAAATACAACAAATGCTCTTTTATATTGGAAACCTTTATTTGCAGAAGACTTGTTACTAAATGTTCCAGACACTTTTCACATTACTAAAGATATGACTCCGATGCTTGGAATGTGTTTTGATGATGATACCAACAACAGATACCGTTTTGGTAAATATTATAAAGTGTATGTCCCTCCAAATTATAACTCGACAAAAAATTACATCAACATTTTGGTGAAAAAGAATAGAAGTGAAGGTAAAGTCAAAATTGATTTAACCAAAGAACAGTATGACAAAAATAACAAGATTGACAAACCACTGTGTTTCGGTACTTCACAGTTTGTTGATACATATGGTTATTTGATAGCAAGAATAAGTTACACAGAAACCAATTTTACACTCTTTGTGGGAATGGTAGACCCATATGATTGTGTAATTACAGTGACTTTGATAACTTCTGAAGAGATGTTACAATATCTGAATTATCCAATATATAATGTAACTAATTTAAAAACGACTCCACTTACTAGTAAATTGGATTTTGCACAATTGGGTGTTTTGGATAGAAGAGGATGCTCCTCACAACCATACATATTGAAATTATTCTTTTTTATATTGGTTGGTGAAATACCAAATAAGAGTAGAATACTTTTTTCGAGTTCGAACGGAGAGACACAAATGTTTGAATACACAAGATGTGAAAACGAAACAAAATTTTATGGAAAATGTCATTGTGTGAATGGAACACAAACAAGAAGAGATTTGTGGAAATTGGCTCCAGAAACGGGGTTTGTATATTCGACACAAGAGACTACATTCGAAAATTACGTCTTCAAATTATTCTCAAAAAACATGATCATGAGAACAGAATTTTCCATGAGAGTAATATGTCCCAACAATTGTAATGAAGAACGTGGAGGTGGTAAATGTAGTGTCCAATTAGGAAAGTGTATATGTTCACATGGTTCATATGGAGGTGACGATTGTCATAAATTGTGTTATTATAACAACACGTGGACACTCACAAATTATGATGACAAGTGTTATTTCGGAGAAGAGTATTGTGATACATATTGTGAGTGTGAAAATGGAACTTATTTATTAGACCATCATTGTTTAAATGAAGTGTGTTACAGTAATAATATTACTGATTATCCTGAGTTATGTAAAAGGGGGGAGTCTCATTGTAAATTTAATTGTCAATGTGAGGATGGATACATCATTAAAAATAACAAATGTATAACACAAACATGTGGCAACGGAAAATTGGATCATCCAGAAGAACAATGTGATTCCGGGAATTCATGCAATAGTACAAATTGTAAATGTTATGAAGGGTTTGTACCTGATCCCGATAATAAAGGATCTTGTAAGGGGAGTAATTACACATTAATAATAACATTAGTTATAACATGTACCGTTTTGTTATTAACAGTGTTAATTATATCTACTGTTACAACAATCATAGTGTCAAGAAAAGATCATTACTTATTTAAGAATGTAATAGAAGCCATTGAATATCCACAACCAGAGTATTATTTTGATGTTTCAAAATGTCATTATATTGCGTACACTTCGAACAAATACCCATCCAATAAAAGTATAATCACTTTTGGAATGAAAAACAAACAATTGAAAATCAATGAAACTGTTTTCGAAATATTTGAAATGACAAATCATACTAAAAGATTTATGTTAATTATATTCCACACTCCAAATATCCAAAAATATACAGTACACTTTTGCCCACAAACACTCATAATTTCAAAAGGAAAAACAAAACAAATACTATTGATATTTACACCACATTGTACAACACGTTTTGAAGGTACTGAATTTTATGTATCAGTTTATTATGGCGATAAATCGACTTTGATCGAATTACAACAACTCGTTTTTGACAAGAAAAAAATCGACGTTGATGATACAATTATATATGAAAAAATACACAAGAGAGTGAGTGCCTTTTATTTTGTATTGATTTCTAAGGTTGAAATCGAAGGATCTTTTCAAATTGATCGCGACGAGTTGTTTGTTTCTCCAAGAAGATTCGAAACAAAAGGCAATCACAAGCATGCAATTGTTGGGACTTATAGAGGAAAACCAGTCACTGTGAAAACGATTAACCTTTCAAATCTATCTACTCAGGATTTAAACACTTTAAAAGCTTCAATAGAAAAGTTTTATACATCCATTAAAAATATGCGATCCCCTTATTTGTTACAACCATTTGGCTGTTTTTATGAAGACCAGAATCTATCTTTTTTCAGTGAAATTTGTTGTTTGGGGAGTGCCGATTTGTATTTCTTAAACTCGGAATACAAAGGTCGATTTTCATATTCATTTAAACTTAAAGTAATGAAAGACGTTCAATGTGGTTTAAGTTATTTACATGGTTTTAAATTATTTCATTTGAATTTGAAGCTTTCAAATGTAATGATGAAATCATTTAGTGCTTCACCAACAGTAGTTTCTGTGCAACTTTGTGATCACTGGGGAAGTGCGGATTTGAGAACAAAAGTGGAGGATAATGGATTGTTTATGAAAAATCCCAGATGCGATCCACCAGAGGCATATAAACATATATTTGGGTCGTTTACTGATGTTTATTCTTTTGGGATCCTATGCTGGGAATTCTTCTATGAACAACGTACATTTGGAAAGTACAAAACACTTTTTGATATTAAAAGTGCAGTCATAACTGGGTTAACACCAGAGATTGATAGTACTATGCCAAGTGATCTTAAATGGTTAATACTAAAATGTTGGGAGTACAAGTATCTTCAAAGAATTACTCTAAGAGAAACACATGAAATTCTTCATGATATTATAAGAAAGGAGGAAACTTTGAAAAGTGCAAAAGAAAACAATAAGAACATTGAAAATGAAATATTCTTTGAACAATTGAAAAATGAGAAGATGATATTATATTCGAATGCCTTAGATCAGAAAACGCTTATACCATTTAATATATAAAGTTATTTTTTGTTAAATTTGTTATGTATGTTTAATATATACAAGTTTTATAAATTATGTTATTTTTAAATAAACAACTCATAAACGATTAATTAATTATTGTCACAATTATGATGTGGACTTGTCAAATATAAGTTATTGATTGTTTAAATAATCAAATTTACTTTGTTATAATAATTTTATTTTTTATAACAATGAATTAGTTTCATGTTTACTCGTGTTTTATAGTGTTTTGAAAATCGAAAATAATAAACATTGTTTGTATATTGTATTGAAATTATAAGTATGTTAATTTACAATATCAATTTTTTGAAATGATATATTTTGATACATTATTAAGTATCAAATTAATATTTTATTTGATTTTATTGAAGAATAATAATAAGTTGATCAATTAACATGTTTTAACACACCAATGATTTTCAATTAAGAATCAGTGTCTTATCTAAAAGAAAATACATAGAATCTTTTTGGTATTACTATTTTGGGTTCAAAAAATATTTCCTTTTTATAATCAAAAGCAGAATAAGTTAAAATGATAGTAGGGTCTTTCCTTTCATTTGTTTGTTTTAAGAATAGAATATCGTTTGCGCTTTCAAGACCAACTGCAAACAGTATATCTTTAGTGTGGTCACAAACATATATAGCAAACTTTTCATTTGGTGGTTTGATGTTAATTGTTTTGAACTTATTAAAGAAACTGAACATAAAGATATGTGGATCATCAATCCAACAATTCACTTTCATTTTTTGTTGAACAAAACACCCAAAAAAGTCTTCTTTGTAATTTTCATTTTCGGCAACAATAAGAAAGAGTGTGTTTTCTTTCCATTCTGTTTTGTAAAACGTGTCATATATATGTTCATCTTTTTGTGAAAAATCGATATCTAATATTATTTTAAATTCATTCAAATTGAATTCTTTGAATATTTTATTTTGAAGCGTATCAAAGTGGTTGAGAAATAAGGTGTTCTCTTCAGAAATCAATCTTTGATGAGATTTCATATGAATAAAATGCTTGTCAAATGACTCACATCCAAATTGAAGAGAATCAGACGGTATTTGTTCCTCACATTTTATTTTACAATCTTTTTCTATTGAACTTGTGAATTTGTGAACTTGTTGACGTTGTAAATCACATTGAATTGTTTTATTGATAAGAATCTTTTTCATTTTTGAATTCATTTCAATAACTTCGCGAGTAAACCCATCGATGTACTCCTTACTATCTTTACACTCTGAATAAAAATCCAAAAAGTGTTCATTTTTATATTTTGATCCCAAAGTAACACTTTCAAACAAATTTTTTATCAAAACATCTTTACTTTGTTGGAGATCTACATCCTTTGACATGTAACAATGTAAAAAACTTAGTTTAACACCTTTTATTTATAATCATCAATTTATTCATCCCAATTTAATATCTTTTTATCTTAATATTTTGGTCATTATTTCACTTTTAAATTAGAAATTCAAATTCAAATAATTAATATGAAATATTAATCGATCATTTCACCTAAAATTGTGTATTGTATAAAAAATCAACAAAATACTATAAATACATATTTAAATGATTTCATTTTAAAACTTTATATGAAAAAACCAATTTTTCTATTTCCATTTTTAACAATCAAAAATAGCTCCCTTGTTTTTACATAGAGTCAGTCTTTTAACGTTATCAGGTAGCCAAAAAATAGCTTTTTTTGTAAACATCGGGCAATAGATAACCCGTGAAAAAACTCGAAACAATTTGGATAGATTTTTGGGACTGCTTCCCGAAATATTCCAATTTTAATGGTCCAAAAGGTATTGGATAAGATTAAAAAACAGACTGTATATATCTAAAGATAAATAAAATATATTTGATGTTTTTCCCTTTCTCAACGTGTGTATTATTATGTATATAATAAACTTTTAAAAATTGGGGAAAACATTTAATAAACTCGAGATTTCCCAATTATTAGACCACTTCAATTATGTTTCAAGTTATTAAAGGTGTTACTCCTAAAAAACAGAACAAAAAAAAACTTAGTATTTCCTTTTCAATTCGTTCCATTTATTTTGAATATCTTGAAGCTTAACATTTTTCAAAAAGATGTTATTAACTTCTCTTCGAAGTGATCTTCTTTCTTCGTCACTCATTCCTTTCGTCAATTCATCGATTTCTTTATTTTGAATTTGCGATTTCAGAGTTAAGACTAGACTTGCATTAAGTTCCGTTTCTTCTCCTTTTTTAATGACTTCTTTCAATGTTTGTCGCTTCTTTTCATCGTTATCTCTTATTTCTGGTACACTTATTAATCCCTCCTCCATCCTTACATGAACAATTCCGTTATATACATCTTCTATAGTATCACAGACGCCTTTTATAATTGGCTCACACTCATATTTATTAGGCCCAAAATCGTCTCCTCGTATTGCGTCCATCCACAAATATTTTCCACTCTCGTCGTACATCTCTGTGTAACACTCTGTCCTCCCACATACCCCCAAGACCTTTGAAATGTCAAATTCAAAAACATTACTTCGATGGGTTTGAAATTGTGTTAAGTCAAAAGTACAAAGTGTCACGTCCTTCACTGTTTCCTTCCCTTCTTCGTCATAGAAAGTGACACGTTCCTTCATCTGAGACTTTCCAAAGGAACACAGCAAGTCACTTGTTATAGTAATTATATAGTTTTCTGGTACTATTAAAGTACTATTAAGTAATTCGACTTGCTGTCTTCGTTGACAACTTTCAATGTAAAATTGATTCTTCAAAACGACTTGTTGCACACTGACATTTGCATTGAAGTCTTGAAGAAGAAGTTCTTCTTTCTTTGGTAACGTTTTGAACTCCATTTTCCGAACATAAAAGCCGACGCCTTCCGATATCACATTTTTCGCGGTGACGCCGGCGACTATTGTATACCTCCCAGCAAATTGGTCTGTTACAAACCAATTTTGATGTGCTCCTGCAAACTCGACTTTAACTCCGTCGAGCGCTGCATTTCTGAATTGTGAGAGTGCGTCGTCTGATGTTAAATTCAAATTTTGTAGCATTTCTAATGCCTTTTGAATGACATTATCACAGAATTGAAATATTTTGACGACTTCACTATTGAAAAGGTCTGCTATATCATTGCGTTCGACTTTAATACACTCCTCCTCATACGACTTGAAATACACAGAGTCTAACTTCTCTTCATAAAACGCTGAGATACAGGAATATAAGGGATTTTCATTATTAATTAGAAATTGACTCCACGTGTCGCGATCTTTCTTCACTTCTTGATGAAACAGAAAAGTCGCCAGAAGTGCCGCAAAGACATTTTGACCAACATTCAGGCGACTCGAGTACAACTCAATCACATTAAACGTGTCGCACATGAACACCGTCACCGTCGTGCAAAAGTCATCCGTCACAACACACGCGACTACTTTCGGCTCGACATTTTGTCGCAAAAGTACCGTTCGCGCAAATTGAAGACCAATGACTGAATTCGCATGAACTATTTTGATCACCTCCATTTCATTCGTGCTAAATGAAGTCTTTACTACACTTTCTAGACGACAGTCACTACCCGTCGGGAGACATACAACATAGCGAAGAGGACACGCAAAAACGTCCGTTATAAGAAGTTTGAGTTTTGAGATCAAAAGGGCCCAGACCCCGTAGATGTCTTGGACTAAATTTTGTAAATCGAAGTTTCTGTTGATTTTCTGTTCCAAAGCGTCTAATTCACAAAGATAGTTAATACACCCCTCTTTCGTTTTGGCATCTTCAAAAAAGGTTAATTTACTACCATTATAGTAAAAACAAAAAGGCTTTGAACTTACGGAATGGGAAAAACAAGATACGTCAACGGTATTCTGACCAAAATGAGATAGACTGACTTGAGTGTCAGTAAAAGTTATACCAATGATTTTAGTGGAGCTCATGTGTTCGTTTATCAGATGTTGAACCGTTTTAAAGTTCATTTTCCAAATGAGTTTTATTTATTTATCATTCATTCCGGCAAATTATATCAATTGGATAGAATTTTTTATTATATTTGTAATAGTTAAAATTAATTTCAATTGATTCAATTAATGATTTTTTTAATAATATTGAATCATCATTTTTTTTTTAAATAAATAAAAATTTAAATAACAAAAAAAATTATTTTAAAATTTTATAATTTAATTTTTTTTCATTAATTAAACAATTAAACAATTCAATTTAGTTATTTACTAAAATGTCTAACTAAATGTATTGTATCACTAAACTATAATTAATAATAATATATTTAATTCAATATAATTATAAAAATATAATATTATTATTCAAGAATAATTATAAATTAAAAAAATAATAGATAAATAATTATAGAAACAAACTATAAATATACAATTTGTTTTACAAATGACGTCAAAACTGAGAGATTTTAAATAAACAAGTCAGTATTTTTACATCTTGTCCACAACATGTTATAGTAAATAAAATTATAAATAATCTATATTTAAACACATTATATAAAATCAAGAATAATTAAAAACAAACAAAAAAAGAACTATTAATACAAATGAGTGGGAAGCAAGAACTTCTTTTAGTCGAGAGCTCGTCAATTCCACGGACTGAGCAAATGCGAAAGAAGAACTGGGTATGTGTGTATCCAGGTTGCAACGTGTGTCCAAAGAGTCGGTTTGATTCTTCCTCAAGTTCTCAAAAATAAATTAACGAGCTGTTTTAAATTAACGAAATTTCTTTTTTTCGCACGACTCATGATAACAGCTCTTTAATTAAAACACAGAAATGAAACAAAATGCCAATAAAAACAGCTCGTTAATTACAAACAATTACAATTAATAACGAAAAGATACAATTTAACCGCACACGTGTGGGATGCCCATTTAAGAGAGGAGTGTTCAAAGCCTGGGAATAATCCGAATAACTTGGCATTAACAACTTTTAAATTGTGTCCACAGAAAGAAATAGTTAAAAAGATGTGTCAACAATATATGGTGAAAATGGTCGACAAATTACCGCCCGACAAAAGTTATTCGAAAGATTCAAAAGTCTTGAAACTGGCGAATAACGTGAATGTTGTGTCGAACAACATTTTGTGTAACAAATATAACACCGCAACAAATTCCCCACAAAATGATTACCCGTTTGCTTTTAATGTGTCAAATGAAGCGGAAACAACATCAAATGAAATGTCCGAGAAACATCACTTGGTACTTACACCACCAAATTCAGTGACAAATGACATCCAATATGTCTCACAACATTCACAAGAAGTACTACAAAATGTGAATCTTGCGCCCGTCACACAAATCACAAGAAATATTGCAAAAGTGCACAATGTGACTCCAATCACAAATTTCACAAGCGTCACAAAATCACAACAGAATGAAATGACACCACAAACACTCAATTACAATTTGTACGCACAAAATCAAAATATCTACGCGCCACAAGCTTTCGATCCAAAAGAAGACTTCATCCGCATCGAAACATTATCTTCACAAATGAAACAATTACACATCTTCGGCGAGATCTTTGCCGAGAACGGCTTTTTAGTGCGTTCGGACATGCGTTCCAAAACGAACATCACTGCGATCAAAAGTGCATTAGAAAGTATTATGTCACTCAGCGGAGTCACCTATTCTTATAAAGACGATTTAAATAACAGGAAATATGGGTTTATAGCTCAAGAAGTCGAGAAGATCATTCCCGACTTGGTTACTAAAGATGACACGGGAAACCTCTCAGTCGATTATTTGGGAGTCCTCCCAGTCTTACTGGAATCACTCAAACAAATTCGACGAAACGTCTCGTTCACGCGAAACGAGAAGGATAAAATCATTAATGAACGAGTCAGTGATGCAATCAGTGAATTAGAAGCTATTATTAGAAGTGAAGAAAAAGAGAAGATCGACAATGCGGAAAAATTCAAAAATTGGAAGACGGACGCTCTGCATTTATTTGGGCCGGTTCCTATTCTTTTATTGGGTTGTATAGTAAGTTCTTTAGTTAGTATTTTCGTCCCTGTTGTGTTTGGGTCGATGTATTTTGTGATTTGTGGCTGTTTTCTCTTTACTATCGTTTTGTGGGTCTTTGTCATTTGTAACAAAAACGAAATCATGCAATTCCTCGGAAGAAAAAAATATCTTCCTCTTGGCGTTTTTCAATGTGAAAAATTCAAACTATCGCATTACGTCATGTGGTTCTTCGTCTTCTCCTATTTTTTTATCGCAATAATTCTATCGACTTGTTTCGGTATTAAAGTGTCGCTCTTCGCAATCATCTATCTCATTCTGGCTTTTGTCGCTACAGTCGGGTGCTATTTTGTCGCAAAGGCTGGAATAAAGTTCGGATTTAGATTCGAATTCTCTATTATCGTTCTGGCACTCTATCAAATCATCGCAATCCTCGTTCTCATTTTACTTGCAGTCTATCAACGTTTGTTGTATACTATACTTTTATTATAAAAAATATTATAATAATATAGTATATGAAAGTAAAGAAACTCGTTAATTTAAAATGATTGTTAAATGTAAATATAATTTAACGAGCTAATCAATAGCGTTTCTTGAATTGGAGGTGGCGAACAAGTCGTACTACACCGTCTCTGTGACAGAGAACGAGGAAGTTTCACACATCTTAATGCCAAAAGTCCCGTGGAATTGTTTTAGTCCAACGATTAAAACGACCCCAAACCTTCCTGATGGTCTTGAGTTCTCAATATCACAAAAACTCTTTTCTTTACCCGCGCCAGTGTTGAGTGGAAACTCGTCCAGGGAATTTGTTTCACAAGTCTTCGAAGTGCAACTTTTGTGCAATCGAATAGTTGCTATAAACTATCCAAGTTTAACTATTACAAGTTGCTCAAGAAATACAGACCCGACACAGTGTGCCATGAACTCATGTGGGTACTGCAAAGCTTCAACAAACGCGTTTTGTGGAATTTGTGGAAAAGCTTTTGAGTCTTCATGTATCAAAATAGCTGGGAAAGTGTCGGGATGTTGAGTGTACTGTCTGTCTGTTATTTGTCTGTAAATCGAGGTTAATTCTTTTGTTTGTAATTTTACTATGAAGTTGTGCTATTTTTTATAAATAGTTTTTCTTTTATTTAATTATTATATTATTTATATTATATTCTATTACATAATATAATATAAATTAGTATACAAAAATATATTAAAATAACAAAAATAATTTAAAAAAAAGAAAGTCATAATTTAAAAATCTATAATTCAAAATAATTAATTTAGTATTCTGATATTTCGAATTATTTTTTAGATCTTTTGTCAAAATCTCAATCTCATTATTCCTAATAATCGGACACAAAATTAAAAATTGTTTAAATTATTAATAATAGTTAATTTTATTATATTTAAATTGTAAGTGTTTTTTTTTAGTAATAATTTAAATAATCCATTTTTGTATTTCCACCAATTTAAAAAGTGATAATCAAATAATATAATAAAAAATAAATTTTAATAAATAATTTCGTAATAAATAATAAAATTTGTTTTTATACAACACAAAAAAACCTAATTAAAAAATCTCGCGAAATGTGACTTTTTTCTTTCTAAAATTTCAAAATTTTTGAGTGAATAAAAATAATATAAAAGCAGTGATTGAGACTTTTATAATCACAAGAAAGAGATATGAGTGCTCCACTGATGGTGACATTATCTGGTATTCGTGGGATAGCCCATGAGTCCTTAACCTCCGAAGTGATCATCAAATATGTCAAAGCTTTTGCCACGACTCAATTAAAAGAGCATCCGACGAATCACAAGTTCATAGTTGGACGAGATTCTCGTGTAAGTGGTCCATGGGCTGAAGAGATAGTGAACAAAGCCTTAGTAGAATGTGGTTGTGATGTTCTTCAATGTGGGATAGTCCCAACACCAACTGTTCAAGTTATAGTTCAGCATGAGGAAGCGTGTGGTGGTGTCATAATAACTTCGAGTCACAATCCAAAGCCATGGAATGGACTTAAATTTGTTGACTCCGATGGGTTATTCATTGTCCCCGAGAAGTGCCAAGTCGTCTTCACGTTAGCGGAGGAAAAGACTTTTTGCAATGGAAATGGCTCCGTTAAAATGTATCCTGATGCCGCCGAGATCCACTTATCTAAAATAATGAAATTGCCATATATTCACACTGAAGATGTGAAGGCAAAGCATTTTAAAGTGGTCATCGACTCTGTATGTGGAGCTGGAGGACCTATTATGGTGAACTTACTTCACAAATTCAATTGTGAAGTTATTGAGATGAACACCGCTCCTACAGGTGACTTCCCACATACACCAGAACCTATTCCGGAAAACTTAAAGGACTTGTGTAAACGCGTGAAAGAGGTTGGCGCTGATCTTGGAATAGCTGTTGATCCCGATGTGGACCGATGCGTCTTAATAGGTGGTGATGGATGTCCTATAGGAGAGGAGTATACACTTGTCTGCGCAGTTTACTTCGCTTTAAAGTATTGCGGGAAGCGTGGCGCGGTGTGCAAGAATTTGTCGTCGTCGCGCGCGACTGCGGATGTTGCAAAAGAGTATGGGTGTGTGTGTTATAATACGCCTGTTGGTGAGATCCAGGTTGGTGTAGGGATGACGGAGAAGAAAGCAGTGATAGGTGGTGAAGGGAATGGAGGTGTTATGTTGCCTGATGTACATATTGGTCGTGACGCGATGGTAGCGACCTCTCTTGTCCTTAACTTGATGCAACGCGAGAACAAATCATTAAAAGAGATCGTCCAACAGCTTCCGCAATACACCATTTATAAAAGTAAAGTCGACAGAAGTAAAGTGAATGTCGATAAAGCATTTTTGGACGTGAAGAAGGAATACGCAAATCAAGAAATAGACGAGAGAGATGGACTCTATGTCGCAACTGAAAAGTATTGGGTCCATCTCAGAAAAAGTAACACTGAACCAATAGTCAGAGTTATCGCAGAAGCTCACACTATAGAAGAAGCTAAACAAGCTGCTGACCATGTTATGGATATTCTACTGAAGGCGTAGAAAGTAATAGACGCTTGATTTTGTGATTTGTTGATAAAGGCCATTTTAGACTGATTTCTATATAATACTTTTTATAGTAATAATATGGTAGTTGTATAGTTCATAATAACTACTAATAAAATAATTGTTTTATTAGTAGTTATTAATATAATCAATTTTATCATTTTTAATAAAACATTTTTCATCAAAATGTTATTGGAGAGTGGAAAAGAAAAAGAGATTTGCTGGGGTAAAAATGGATTTTTTGAGATTACAAACTATAAATGATAGTTTTATTATAGTTTACATATAGTTTCAATAACATACGAGTGATGTGAAAAGTCAAATGAACGGAATAGAAGGCAAATTTCATGGGAAAATTATGGGTTTTAGTTGAACCCAAAAATCCGAAAACAAACAATTTTAAGATGAAAACCCTTGACGACATTTTTTGCCCGAAAATCAGAGGCACCATATCTTATTAGAGTTAATTAGTACCGACTTTTTTTACAAAAACTGAAAGAAGACCAAAATGACATAAAACTACTTAGAGAATAGTAAAAAACAATAATTTCCCGCCATAAATTTGAGCCAAAACGAATTATTAAAAGATTCGATGCACCCGTTTCCGATTCGTGTTTTAGTAGTTTCACCGACGAGTGAGGAATCGGTAGTTTCCAGTTCGATCAACACGATCTGCAAAGAGATCCATGATCTTGGAGCGACTGCGATCTTAACTCATTCTTTCCATGATGCATATAATGAGTTAAAAGAAACTATAGATATAGCAGCTATATTAATGGATTGGGATATGGATTATTCCAAGTGTAAAAAGTCGATGAGACAATTTCTCTTTCCCAAAACGACTCAGATTTACGATCACAAAGTTTTAGTTCTCCCGGGAACGGAACTTTCGCCTTTCCAGGCCAAAACGCCATTAATGAAATTAGAGGCTGACGGATTGAATCTTGTCGTTCCGCGGTCCTATCCGAATGAGAAGATCGCCGAAATGCAACAATTAAAAACGCAAGAGGAGTTAATTTTGTTTATGGAAAAAGAGCATTTGAAAGTTGTCCCATCACCTTTGAATGTGATTCGGACCTTTAAGAATATTAATAGAAAAATATTAATATTTTTATATACAGAGAAACTAGTTGTCGAGCGCCTTCCCGTCCAAGTCTTAGAATCGATCGAAGCGTATTTGTGGAAAGGTGAAGAGACTCCGACCTTTGTAGCGAAGCGAATAGTCACGCAGTCCTACGAATACATTGAAGACATTTTACCACCATTCTTTAAAGCCTTAGTGAAGTATGTGAATCAAGGGAAGTATTCATGGCATTGTCCTGGGCATATGGGGGGTGTTGCTTACTTACGTAGTCCACCTGGGAAGTTTTTCTTTGATTTCTTTGGGGAGAATATGTTAATAGCTGACTTATGTAATGCTGTTGGGGAGTTAGGAGGGTTACTCAATCACTTTGGTCCCATTGGAGAAGCCGAGAAATATGCTTCTAAAGTGTTTGGGAGTGATTTCTCTTATTTTGTATTAAATGGGACATCTACAGCAAATAAGATGGTATTCCAAGGGACTACAGTATCTGGGGATGTAGTTGTTTTAGATCGAAATGCACACAAATCGTCGATGCAAGCTATTATGTTAGGAGGTCTTAAGCCCTTCTATGTAGTTCCTGTGAGGAACAAATATGGTATAATTGGACCCATTCCCTTCACTGAATTTAATGTGACAAACATCATTAAACAAGGCAAACGCCTTCCTTATATGACACAACAAGACTTAACAAAAGGGATTAAGTTAATGGTGTTAACACAATGTACATATGATGGGATCTGTTATAATGTTGCTAAAGTCTGTCAAAGTTTGTCACATTTAGATGCGCAGAATATGTTATTTGATGAGGCATGGTTCCCTTATGCTCATTTCCATCCATTCTATGCGTCTTACCATTCGATGAATAAAGACTACTTTGAAAAGATGAACGAGAAGTTGGAAGAAGACTCTATTTTCCATGGAAGCTCAGTGTTACAAGACTTGGATGAGGACGAAGAAGGCGATGAAGTTGTGAAGAGGTCGACCACTCCTTCGAATTATAAAGGTGTCATCTATGCCACTCAAAGTACTCATAAAGTGCTTGCAGCGCTCTCGCAATGTTCTATGGTCCACGTCAGAAACTCTAAGGACCCATTCCAGTTTGATCGCTTTAACACGTACTTCCAAGCGAATACTTCGACTTCGCCGCAATACTCTTTAATTGCGTCGTTAGACATGTCATCTGCTATTATGGATATCTCTGGGGAGTCTATAGTAGATGATGTCTTAAAAGAAGTCATATCATTCCGGTGTGCGATCGAGCGTGTGAAAGTCGAGTTTAAAGAGTCAGGGGAAGGGTGGTTCTTTGGGTGTTGGCAGCCTCGGGACATTTTGAGTGGGAAGAATGACATTTATGACAAGAATTATTGGGTCCTTCCCCCAAGTGGTCCAGAAGCGTGGCATGGGTTCCCTAATATAGGAAAGAATCAATACTTATTAGACCCATTGAAAGTGAATATCTTAACTGTTGATGAAGATGCGAATATTGAGATACCAGCGTGTGTAGTGTGTAAGTTCTTAGCAATGAATGGGATTATAATGGAGAAGATGGGGTATTATACAATGCTTTCATTGTTCTCTATTGGAAGTAGAAGAGGGAAATCAGCTACTTTAATCACCGCGTTGATTCAATTCAAGAAGATGTATGACAGTAATACTCAATTGAAGTATGTCTTCACTAGAGAACACAACTTGGAGTTCGAAAACGTCGGGCTCAAGGACTTCTGCGACATGATGAATCCAGAAATCAAGAAAATGCAGGAAATGGAGAACGAAGTCTACTCCGGAAAGCTCCCCGATGTCAAGTGTTTGCCTTATGAAGCTTCTTGCGCTTTAATTAATAACAACGTCGACTGGGTCCCCGTCGAAAATTTGACGGGAAGAGTCAGCGCGTTACTCGTGGTCAATTACCCACCGGGAATACCTACTGTAATGCCTGGCGAAATCTTCGATCAAGTCCATACCGACTTAATGGTCGCTCTTGCTCATTTCGAAGAAAAGTGGCCGGGGTACGAATTCGAAGTCCATGGCTTGGTCGCTAAGAACGGGAAGTTCTTTATCCCTTGCTTAAAACAGTAAGTCAGCGTGGAGTTATTGGTCTTTTTTTTTGGCACCAAATGTGTCATTGAGTTCGGTATGAACTATAGTTGTATAGTTAAATAACTAAATTGTGTAGATTAAAGCGAACTCTGTTAAATAACTAAATTCGAAAGGTTCGTTTTTTGTACTAAATTTTATAAATGTCATATTATAATTAATAATACAAGGATTGTCATTTTCTTTCACAAAAAGAAACTTTTATGAATGAAAAACTTTTTTTTTGTTTTTACAAATTTGTCATTTTTATGAAATAACAAAATATTACTATTATTTTAGTAAAAGAATTAATAAAAAATTCAACAAATAATTTGTAAAAATTGTTTAAAAATAAAAATGAAAATTATTTAAAAATTAATTAAAAATTAATTAAAAAAACAATTATAAATTCATTAATTAAAAACATAATTGGGAAGGAAAAAAGGTATATTTTATTTCCAAAAGGTATATTGTCTATTCTAAAAATACGATAGATACTGATAAAGTGGAATGGACGAGCCAAAGACTAAGAAGCGAGGACCAAAAAATCCGTTGGTTGTTCGGTTTATTGAGAAACTGTTTAAGATGGTGAATGAGTGTCGGAAGGGGAAGGTAGTGACATATGACATGACTCAAAAGTGTATATTGATATATGATACCGACAAATTTTATAATGAAATTATGCCCAAATTCTTTGGAGTGATGAGACAAGATAGTTTTGTTCGACAAATGAATTCGTATGGATTTCATAAGAAAATGTACGATGGAGTGGTTGGATACTCCAACTCTTTATTCGACCCGGACAACCCCAATAGTTTGATGTTAATTAAAAAGAAGAAGAAAATGTACAGTAGAAAAGAAGAGAAAGAGAAATTGAAGAAATTGTATGAAACAAGGCATGCGTTTTCTTTATCAATATCTTCTGAAGTCTCGGATGAATTGAGCACTTCAAAGGAAATGAATGAATTGTGTTTGAAAGATGAGACTATTGAAAAAACAGAGAAGAGTGACAAATCAGACATTATAGACGAGAGATATATATTACCAGACACAAACAACAAAAGGGGATGTAATGGATTTAATTTTGTAATAACTGATATGGAAGCACTGAATGACAAACAAGTTGAACTACAAAATGAACAAATAGATGAAAGGCGTCTTTCACAAGACCAACCGGTCACTCAAAAACAAGAGAAATATGAGAAATGGAATGAAGAGACTGTTCGACAAAATGTTGTCGAATTGATGCGACAAACTGATACCGAGCCCACACTTCGAGACTTGCAGATGAGTCTTCAGAACCTTCAAAACGATTTTTCTATTTTAAGTGATAATCAACGGGTCTTAAGTGACCAACTCCGACTTCTTACAAATTCTTTAGTCCCATTTCTCTCCTCTGGTTTTGAGGAGTCCAACTATCCTCTTTTCCCAGCGACTGATCAAGATCAAATGAATAGACACCAAGTGTAGTTGTTAATTCAATAAGTCATGTATTCTAAGTGTTCTATTTTCAGAGTTTTTTGTTGTATTATAATTATAGTAAAATTTGTAATTACTTATAATACAATTAGTGATACTTATTTCTAGAGTGTTATAAAAAGAACTTCAAAAACAAAAGAACGACAATGACCGAAGGAAAACCGCGACGAAGAGACAAATTAGATGAATGGATCCATGCCCATTTCACAGAAGAAGAATTGCAAGAACTTCCTGCGAAGATTATCTTTCCCGTGATAGGTGTGATCTATATAGTTTGTTTGTATTTCTTAACACAAGTGTTGCCCCTCTATTTTGGGGCGTTGTACGTGTCTTTTATGGCAGTTATAATGCATGTGCTATTTATATTAGTCACTTCATCATTTTATAGAGTCCATTACACTTCATCGGATGTCATTCCAAAAACATTTTATGAAGTGAAAGAAGAAGAAAAAACACCAGAAAGGTACTGCGATGTGTGCAAGAGATATAAGGGGTATAGAGTCCATCACTGCGAAGCGACAAAAAAATGCGTCTATAAACTCGACCACTTCTGCACAGTGCTCGGTAACTCGTTGGGATATCACAACTTCAGATATTTCTTCTTGTTCCTCTTCTATCTTTGGGTCTCAGTTCTCTTCGTCGTCTTCAACATTTACGAAATTTTCTATAGTGCTGACCTCGTTTGTTATAATGTATAGTAATTTGTTATAATGTATAGTAAATTGTTCTATTACTATATAATATTGTTGTTTTATTATTGTGTTTTACTATTAATGAATAATATAATTTATAATTTATTTATTATAATTATACTATAGTATTTTACTGTACTATAATTTATATATACATTATACTTTATTGAATATTGTAGTAGTACACTAGTATAATTTTTATAAAAAATAGAACAATTGAAAGAAGTCCAGAAACTTAGAAACAGACGAATGCGCCGTACATAGTGTTAGTAGTGGTTGCACTCTTCTTTGGAAACATGGCACTTTCTGTGAGTGTCGAGTTGTTTGCGGTTGGAGTTGTCATATCAACAAATCTGACGTTTGTTGAACTTGTGAAGTACTTGGGAGAATCCCTCAAACAAAGAAAACTTGTTGAAAATACATTCAGTCGAGGATTTATTAACAATTGGAGAGAAGTGATGCAAGTTCCTGAGGGAAAATGGCTCATTTCGGGATTTTTACCAACTCAACCCATTTTCGATAAAAAGTCGGACTAATTTTTTTATCGGAATGACATTTGACTGTTTTGTTTTGGGGATCAAAATGTACTATAAATATAATTGTGTTTATTACTACGTATAATTAAGTTTTTATTTTTGAAGATTCTGTTGCCGATATTATTTTGTGGGTATTATTAATTAACGTGTTGTTTTAAAAACAATATTGTTTTATTTAACAATTATTTGAATTATATAAATTTTGTCAAGATATAGTTATTCAAATAATATAAAACAATAAAAGAATAAAAAACAACTCGTTAAATAAAAGAAGAAAGACTAATAACATGATGTTAATTAATTAATAGTAATGTGATTATAATTAATTATACAATCACAAAAACCAGAACATGAAATAAAGAACCAATAAGTATAGTATCTCAACAATGACACGATTGTAAACTCAGAATGAATAACTTGAAAAGTCACAATATTGGGATGGGAGACTCGCCTTATGACATTGGATTAAACCCCCCACCAAAGTCAAAGCCCCAGAAACGTGTTGGCGTTGACTTTCCACTTAATTTCACCCCCGTCCATCTGATGGTATACCAAAACCGACCAGAACTCATAATTCCATCTGAGGCTCTACGACATTGTGGCTTTGATGTTGTTGATAACCACGGCAACACGCCGCTTCATATTGCGTGTTCATTAGGACGTCTTGAATGTGTTGAAGTGTTAGTTTCCAAACATTCTTCTGTTCTAGTCCATAACGCCTTTGGCGAGATTCCCCTCTTCTGTGCGTTGAGATCTCAAAATTCGGATTTTGACGCATCGTCGAAGATATCGAAGATACTTCTTGAGAAGTGCGGAAAGGAAATGCTTGCCGCGACGGATATGAGGGGGTATACCGTCTTACACTATGCAGTGTTCATGAACAACACCTCGTTTCTCGATTACATTCTTTCGTTGTGTTGTGTCGACGAGTTCATCAACAACACCTTCAACGAAGGAAACTCAACACCCCTCCACATCGCCGCCAAATTCGGACTGTTGCAATCGGCACAGTGGCTACTCGATCACAACGCAGATGTGACGCTTGAGAACGAGATGGGAGAAACAGCCCTTATTGTTGCTATCAAAAATCGACAGCAAGAAATCTCGAAGGTGCTCCTCAAAACTTCTCCATTGGACGTGCCAGACAACTACGGACAAACAGTTTTACACCACGCAGCTGCAGTCGGCGATTTGGACCTCTGCAAAACAATCATTGAGATGTGTCCGAAGTTGGTGAATACCGGCGACTGCCAGAGTAATTTTCCGTTTCATTGTGCTGTTAAAGCAAATAGTAAAGAAGTGATGGAATACTTCTATAGCAACATCTTGTGTTTAGAGCGTGGGAATAGTCAAGGGATGACGCCATTGATGATAGCGGTATCTCTTGGCTGTGAACAGTCGATGTGCTTTTTGAAGGAGAGAGGAGCTAAAATGGACCAGCGGACGATGCGGGGGACCACCTTATTTTTGTCTGGTGTTGTCCATGGAGAGATTGGGATATTAGAAAAGATCAGTGGGATTGAAGAGAAGGACAAGATGGGGAATTCAGTCTTTCATTATGCCGTGCAAAGTGGTCGTATTAAAATAGTCGAGTGGCTCTTTAAACAGAAGAAGGAATTATTAGAAGAGAAGAATGACAGCGGAGAAACACCTTTACATATTGGGAGTTTGAGAGGCGATTTACAGATGGTAAAGCACTTAATCACTGTGTGTCAACATCATGTGGATCTCAGAAATAATGAAGGAAGAACACCATTGCATTACGCTGTGATGGGAGGAAACATGGAGTGTGTTAAGTACTTAATTGAGAATAATAGAGCGTGCGGATATGAAGATAAACATCGAATGAACGTCATACATTTATGCTGTGCGAGGGGTACTGTCAACTTACTTGAGTATTTATGTGAGAGTTATAAAGAATTGATTAATAAAAGAGATGCATGTGGGCGGACTCCGTTACATATTGCTGTAATTATGAATGACGCACTCAGTGTTGAAATACTCAAACGACATGGTGCCGATTTAGTCATGAAGGATATCCGCGGGATGAATGTCAAACAAAGTGCGACTAATCGCGGCTTTTTGCATTGTCTTGATATATTAAATGGCACTAAAAAGAGTGAGTGGGTGGTCATCAATAAAGTCGAATCATTGGGCGAGTTAGTTAATGTTGAAAATTCACACATGCTTTCGTTACACAAAGGAGAGATTATTAGTGTTGTCTGGGTCTATAACGAGTGGGGAATAGGTATCAACGAGCGCGGTGAGAGTGGCTTATTTAAAATGGAATTTTGCAAATCGAAAGAGATGTCGACCATCGAGTTGGAGAAGATGAAAGGGATGTTAAAGAAACAGAAAGAAGTTCGTAAAATTATCGAAAAGAAGAATCGGTCACTCTCCGTCGCTGTACCACCTCCTTTAAATCCAATCGAAGAAAAAGTAAAGACGCATAGTCCTCGCATCGAGATACCCATGGAACAAGACACCAACCAACACAATTTAAGAAACGAGCAATCCGTCTGGTAAATTCATTTTTTTGTTATTACAAATTTCTCGACCTGTGAAGGTTTATTTAAATATTTCAATTGATGAAATAAATTAAAATGAACGAGTTGGAAAGAAAAGACTTACATCTTAAATTTATTGATGATGTCGAGCAACACAAGTCTCACCCCACCAAGCCCTTGGTGATGTAATTCAGCTCCGGTCTGCGAACATATTTCATCTCCTTCTCCTGTTGTGATAGCCGTTTCTATCAGTCTTAAAGTCTCTTGGAATTGGTTTGAGTGAATGTTATTAAGAATCACTTGAATGAGCTGGTCACTATTTTTGCCATCAACTTCGTCGGGTGGGCATAACAATGCAAGTTCCTGTATGGCCTCAGGGTGCTCTTTTAATATCTCTTCAACTATTTTTGCGTCGACGACGGTACGGAGAGAGACGTCTGCGATTTGGATTTTACCGTTTTTAACTTTGTAAATGGGTTTTGCTGCGGGGGGAGCGGTTGTGTCGATGGGGGAAATCTGTTGACCATCCAAAACTTTCTGCATTTCAGTAAGTGCGTTGGAAAACAGTTTGGGGTCTGTCTCTTGGTTCCAGAAAAAGGCAGTGCGCTTTGTTTCTTTGATTTGAACGTACCCACTGTTGCGTTGTGGGATGAGGACCGCAACAGCATCGCCGGGAAATATGATCATTTCAGTGTCGACGTATTGCGTCTCGCGTCGCTTCCACTCGAATGTTATCATCCCTTCAATGGACTGCATTGTCATTTTTATTCGTTTTTGTATTTGGGTGTTGGAAGACAAACAACATAGACAGATACTAAACCTTTTTCCGGAAGAGGAGTTAACGTGTTTTTGTCGAAGACTAATTTCCCTGCACGAAAACGGATTAGACAATTCTGAACGTCAGTTCAACAATTTGTTGGTTTGGTATTAAAACAAACACCACGGTCAAGTTCCATTGAATTTGTTTTTGAGTTTTTTCAACTTTTTATTATTGGATTATTTATTTGTGTATATTTTGTATTTTAATTAACTCAAAATATTTAGACAAAATACAGTTTAGATTATATCTTTCTTGAGTGAACGATTTATACAATGTGCTTTCGGAAATATTTTTTATCCTTCAGCACGTGGTGGTGATACCTCCTCGAAGCGTTTTCAAGTGTCGAAAGTAGTTGGGGTGGAATCATGCTCCTCTCGATCTTTTTGTTCATCTTTCCAATACATTTCATACAAAGTCCCTGGAGCGAAAGTAGAGAATCTGTTGCGGTCAAGAATATAAACGCATTGTAAAAAAACTGGAGGTCGGTGTTTGTTTCCATAGTGTTGAATTCTGGCATTGATGATATGTACAACGTTGAGTACGTCTTGGTCGAGTTGTATAACACAACGGCAGTGCCATCGTCATTTCTTGCAAGTATTGTCGCACCCTTCCCACAGCACAAATGATTTTCTTTGTCAAACCAATTCATCGAAACTGGCAATTGGGTGTGACTGTACCCATCACTCCGATAGGGCGTGTCCATATTTTTCCACAACACACTTTCAACGCTTGTTGGCTTTTTGTAAGTTTGTCTTTTTTGTTCAACCATTTTATCAATTGTACTATTAAATAAACCAGATGAAATAGTTTATTCGTTGTATTTTAATCAAAACACAGAACAAGACAAAAATACCAGAGCAACAAACAGTAAAGACTACACTTGGGTCGATATTCAAAGTGGTGAACTTCATTTTTTCGTCAATTCCAAAGAAAGGGCACATCATCCTATTGTCATATTCGCTTGTCCTATGCTCCAAGTGTTGGAAGAGTGCGTACGTCCCAATGAGATGTTTCGATGTGTTGTTGACGACGTACTTCTCAAGGTTTTTAACTTCTTCAGCAGTGAATGAGGATGGGGATCCCGCAGTGTCGCTGCATATTATGATGTCTGGGCGCTCTTTAAGTAATGCCTTGTATGTGAGAGCCTTTTTCATGAGCTTGACCGACACCTTGATTTCAACAGCTCCAAACTTCTTCCAATCCTTACCAAGACGTTTCCAAAACTCTTTTCCGCCTGCGTGGGAACGGACGACTGATATGCGTATCGTTCGCTGTTTGGGCGTTTTGCTTCCAAACATGCTTTGCCTTCTCTGTATTTTCCGTTCTCTTTGGTTCTTTCATTCCTCCAAGTCAATCACGTTTTCTCATCAAATCATTTTGATGCTTTCCGAAAATATTTTATTAAAAATTAAATTAAGTTGCTATTGTTTTTAATTGTAATTAATCAAACTTGAATCTAAACTTTTTGATTCGCTAAATTTGTATTGATAATAACACACCAAGAATATGGAATTATTTTTTTAGTTTATTACTAGTTTAAGAATTATTAATGATAGTTGTTTTTTTTTCACTTTCCATAAATATTGTATTAATAAATTTAGTTAAATTATAGTTTTATTATACAATTGTTTTGGAGCAATTAACTTTAATAATTACCAAATCTTACCTGGTTTACCTCAGAAGTTATAACAAATTTGTTTAAAAGAATGAATTAAAAATCTTTACATTTTCTTTATATCCGAAAATCTTAACATCCAAACACTCATTCTATCAACCACAACGAGATTGAGAATTGTGGATTACAAGATTCGGAACGACCAAACATAAAAACAGCAAAAAAATTAAAGAATTCGCTCAGTCTTTCTTGAAAAAGAAAAATCCGAAGTAAATGACGAGGCCAATGATGACGAGGAAAACGATGATAATAACACAAAGGAAGATTTTGTTTGTGATTGCTCTTCTGAGCATCCCCTTGAGTGTTTTATTCGACGTGTCCAAGTCGATGTTGACCTTGTCCAGTGTGTCTTTGTCACTCGAAATAACCTCTCTTTGTCTTCGGAGTTCTTGTAATGAATCCATCTCGACACCAACTGTATCTTCTAAGATCGCGTTCGACTGTTCGATCTGGTCCGTCGCCTCATCAAGGCGTTGGGTCGCGTTCAACATCCTGTCTTGGTCTACATGCCCGTAACTCATCAATTTTGAATTAGAATTAGTAGTGTTTATTTTGGCGATCCGTTTTTTCTTCAAAAATGACAGTTCCATCTCAATTCATATCAGCCATTTTTGTACTTATTGTATAGTTTATGTATAGCTATAATTACTATTTCCAAAACATATGACAATTTTTTTCTGAAATCTTCAGATTGAAGAAAAAAATGAGTTGTGGAACGAGAGGACAGATAAGCGAGGAATTTACAGTGTAAAGAATATAAAATATAATTATTATAACAACAATAAAGTACCTCCAACTATTCTTTGTGATATTTTAAACATCACAGATGATCCATTCATTGTCGAAAGACGGCGGAGTATCAATCATTTACCCAACAGAAACACAAAAGTAGTCAATTCTTGAAAGAAACCAAATCTTGGAGCACCGCTATGCTCAGGTACTCTTCCACCTTCTCTTGGTATTGTTCTTTTAATGTTGTAAAGTTGATGAAATGGAAATTTGGGAGGTTGAGTTGCGTCGACATTTTTCCGAACGGACCATCTCCGACGCCGATACAGACGACCTCGATATTTTGTTCGCGTGCGGCGTCAACTGCTTTGTACGTTGGTTCGGTTTCTGTGACGTGTCCGTCGCATATTCTACAAATAAGTCCAACAGAGCCTTAATACCATAACAAACATCAAAATGAGTGTTTTTCCCTTCGCTTCCGCCGCGTTTTCAACTGCTTTGTTAATGAGTGGCGCGAAGTTAGTTGGTCCCGAGAGTGTGATGAATGGTGTTGATTTGTTGTATATATTGATCACGTCATCGTAGGTACTAAGAGGGCCGTCTTTATTCATATTACAAACCCCAGTACCTCTTGAGATGGAATCCCCAAAGGAAAACAAAGAAATCTCTTTTGTCAATTTTTGAAGTTGTTTGCCAACAATAGTCAACACTTGTTGATACGGATTGATGATTTGGTTGCCAATCGAGTGCAACGGTATCCCTCCAAAAGACATGTTGCTCGCTCGAGAGTTACTTGCCGTATAGTCTATTCCAATATAGACAATCAGATCTCTTTTTGTGAGTAATGCGGTGTTCTGTACCATTTCAATATCATAATGAATTATAATTATTAATTAATTAAAAATGTACTATTAATAAACAATTTGAAAATTATAAAATGAACCAATAGACGTCAGTAACAAACTTCAGTCCATTTGTTTCTAGCTGTTTTGACACAGCATCGACTGAATCAAAGTTTAGTTTCAACTCATATTTGTCGCCTGTGCTTGGTGTATTTCCCATTGATATTTGAAGATAAGTAGTTCGAAAGAAGATTCAATAATATTAAGAACCTCTAAAAGGTGCACTTTTTTGAATTTCGAAATTGGTTTTTTAGTAATTCTCAAAATTTTGTTATTTTGGTTTATTTTTAGTACAACCAATTTATAAAAATCTTTTTTTATTTCTTCATTTATAGAAATTTAATTATTAATTATTAATTTATTGTATTGTTTTTTTTCGACAAAAAAATAGAAACTAAAATAGAATAATGGATCAAAATGTTATCCAAGAAGTGATTAGCGCGATTTCTGATACACGAATTCTTCTAAACTTACTATTAGTAAACCATAAGTTTGGCTCTTCGTTTTCTGAAATGACAAGCAATCCGACTGCATTGACGGAACGAACAAAGTCACTTTTTCCAAATCTTAAACGACTGAACTTATATTCAACGTTCGACCTTCGTTTTTCTGAGTTCCCCCAGACAGTGATCTGGTTTGAACTTACGTACACACAGTATCTCAAAGAAAATCATGACAAAGTTAATTGTAAAAGAGTTTGCTTAACAAAAAGCGACATTGTGAATAACTCAAATTTTAATTTTAAAAAGGTGATTGAAAAAGTGACGGCGCTTGGTGACGGGATTTTCTCCAACTCACAAATTTCCGCTTTTTGCTCACAAAAACTATTTTCAATAGGAAACAGGTGTTTTCAAAAGTGCAATTTTCTCCAAACCGTCAAACTTACAACAACTCTACAAGTTATGGGTAACTACTGCTTTATGAGTTGTAATAGTTTGAAGGAGATTATTCTGCCAGATAGTGTCACACAAATTGGAAATTACTGTTTTGGGGAGTGTTCATCACTTTCCACTGTCAAACTGTCAACCCAGATTATGAAAATCCCAAATTTTTGTTTTTACAAATGTTATTCCCTCTCACAAATAAATCTGGAACAGACACTGACTCAACTTGGGAACAGCTCTTTCGAAGAGTGCAAATCACTTGTCAATCTCACTATTCCTCAATCTATCACTTCTATCGGAAGAAATTGTTTTTATAAATGTTATTGTCTCTCGTTGACTTTCCCGAAAATTTACGAAAATTTGAGCCAAAATGATATAGGAAGTATTGAGGAGGAGTTTCCTGTTTGTTCCAGTTGGTATTGTTACAACAACGACTTTTATGATGTCGTTGAGGGACTCTCAACGAGCAGAACCAAAACAACTCCAAACTTTGTTTAGGAGATGCCTGTTTTGGCCACACCAAGGTTTCAGCTGCATATTTTCCTGATTTTGCATTTCACATCTAACTCGTTAATATAGTTATTTTATTATTTTATAAAGAAAAAGTCATTGGAGTATAATAAATAATAATAAAACTACTATAATAGTATACATTTCATATAAGAATAGAAAAACAATTATAATTTATACTATATTTCAAAACCACCAATAAATAATAAAAAATCCATACGAAGAACTATAAAGCAGTCAAAGTCAATTAGAGTTAGAATAAGAAGAGTATGAGTACAAGAGCAGCGGCAATCATAAGAGAAGAGACTCCGTCATTTCCATTATTTGCGCTCCAGTCAATAGATTGGTCCGAGACTTGATTATTATTTTGAGGATATTTAGATTGGAATTTAATGTTATTAAAGTAGACGAAGCTCTTAGTGTTTTCCAGAGTTTGGTAGAGTTGAATTGACACGTATTTGACTTGAGTGACGATTCGAACATCGAACTCGGGTTCTTCTAAACTGACACAATATTCTTTCTTATTAAAGACTCGTACTATTAAACCCGTCTTGGGATCATCATCACCACGAAACTCATCAGGAAGAATACGTACTTTCATTCTGACAGAATCATCGTTGGACGTCCATTGTGATGTAAAACAAAGACCTTTGTCGTTGATTGTCTGCTCTTCACCATTGAACTTCAACATGTCGGAAATCTGCATGTTACCACCTAACCACGTCTTCCCTTCAACTTCATGTTTGCCATACCCAATGAAGGCAGAATCATTCAGCGTCCAACCAAAATCACCATCTTGGTAGAGAATAGATTCGGATCGAGAGAGAAGAATAATTGAGAGAATGATTGTGAACATTTGTGCGATGAAATAGATATTGAAAATTCACGTTTTATAGAGTGCACTGACTTTCGTGGAAAGTCCTTGTCATTTTCACTTTGTTCAATTCACTTTGATATATTTAGTTATTTAAACTATTAATTAAGTTCTTGTAGTTTGTTGTTTTTGTATGTTTAGTTATATGGTTTTGTTATTATTTTCTTTTATTGTCATTAAATTGAGCTTACAATTGGTAAATTATTATAATTATAAATATAATTAAATTATGGTACAATATATTTAGAACCATAATTAAATTATAATATTTTATATTTTATTATAAAAATAGTAAAAAATAATAATAATTATTATTATAATTATTATAACAATAATAAACATTTGTATAATACATGAAGATATAACTAATTTCAATAGAATTTACTAAGATTTTTCTAGCTAAAATGTATATTATGATAATAAAAAATCAAAAAAAAATTAAAACATCAAAACTATTAAATTTGTAATATTTATAATAAAAAATTATTAATTAAAAAAATATAAAAATAATCCAATTACTCATCTTCTGTGTTTTAACTTTATTGTTGCTCCTCTTCGTTTTGGGCTTCTTCAACATTATTGGCGTTATCGCCTTGTTCTGCCTCCTCATCCTCTTTTTCCATCTCACTTTGGATTTTTTCAACAAGTCTTTTTGCCTTTTCAAGTAAATCCATTTTTTTATCTTTATTTGTAACAACAACGTGCGACGCCATCAAAAAACTCTTCAAAATAGGCACTGTCAATCTTGCATATTTTCCGTCGTTTATTTCGTTGAATATCTTGAGCATTTCATCTTCCCCCATTTCAGGTATGACCTGTTTCCTACTTGAGTTTTTTAAAATGGGCTGTACATAAAAGAAAGCACTGACCTCGTTGACTTCTTTCTCCGTTTTTCGCTCATCTTCTGTTTCTCTCATTCTGGCAAGTCTCTCATTCTCTCGGTTTCGTTCCACCCTCACATCTCCTTCGACAATCTCTGCAATCACATCCAATCTCTTTTGAACTGCGGGATTTTTGAGTTGCAACAAGTCGAGATTTTCTTTAGTTGTTGTTTCGATGAGTCGTTTAACAGCCAGATTAGCCTCTGACGCCACCTCAATTTTACTATAGTCATAACACTTGTCTCCATAATTAATAGTTAAATAATCTTGATAAAACGGAATGACAAGTATATATAAACCCCTTGGGAAGATCTCTTCAAATGATTCCAATGCAACAACGACAGAGTCCCTCATCGCTGTTATCATTAAAAAGTCGCAACGTAACGCCACGTGTTTTTCATATAAACTTTTATATAAAGCCTCGTACCACTCAACCGAATCCCCGGTTGGTCGTATAAACATCGGTTTTCCGATTGTTTCAGTTATAAGATCCACATCAATTTTTCCACGCACCCGAATACTATTTTTGAATTCGTCGGGGATTCGGTGCAACTTCTGGTAGTCGTCTTCGGTAAAAACAAGCTTCTTAGCGTTGTAGGCGTACTCCCAATTTCCGTCCTCATCAGTCGGAACTGGTAATTCGCGCAGTTTCGCCTCTTCAATCTCATCTTTTCTGATTTTGCCAACAACTCGCCGAAACTTTTGTTTTTCGACTAAAACATTTCCTAAAGTAGAAGCACGAACATCAGCAAAAATGTTATTCACAATTACCCGACACCGCGTTCCGTTAAAAGGAACAAAGTCATAATAGTACCCATAACTTTTGTGAAAAGCAATTGACACTCGTTCCAACCGTTCTAACTGGAAACACGGAAACGGGAAAAAATCGGGAAAATGTGATGAGAAAATGATTGGAACGACAGAATGAGAGGTCACATAAGCGTTGATTTCGGGAGTAATTTCATGTGTCTCAAAGAACGCAGGTGGCACAACAAACACTATCCGCCGTTGGTTGATGAGATTACTTTCAACAGCTCTCTCGAAAATGGTGTTGGCAAACTCCAACACACTAATCAGTGGCGTAACTTTGGTCGAAGGGACAATATGTGATAGTTTCTCCTCCGTCTTTTTGAAGAGCTCTCCCGACGCGAATCCCAAAAAGTGAGAAAGAACTATGTTGGGCATTTTTTCCGAAGGAGCGTCAACACCAAATAGAACAAGCGCAAAACGGTCTTTTGGGTATAAGACTGGAGTCCTTCGCATGTGGTTCAACACAGCTTCTTTGAGTTTTTCGTCCATCCCCATGTTATTGTAATTGTGACAATCTAAAATAAACACAGTCCCTTCTTTGGGAACTTCAAACGGCTTTTTCTCAGGTTCACCACCTTGAATATACTCATCTTGCTGCTCGTTGGCTTCCTCTTCCATTTTTTGTTTAAAGATTTTTTTTTACCTATTTGTTTGTTTAAATTTTAATTAATATATAGTTATTAATATTCTATATTGTATTTATAGGTACTAAAATATAATAATATTATAGTTATTTTTATATAATTTAATTAATTATTCATCCATCTTATTTAACAATAATTTAAATAATATTTTATTATTAATTAAAATGACTAAATTAATACCATTTTATAAATTTAAATTTATTTAACTAAAAAAATTATTACAGTCATGCGAAAAAGCTGTCGCGTTTGGAAAAACCTGTCTCTGGTGGTAATGAACTATTCTAGTACTATAAACAAATGATCTGAAATAGAAAATGTTATTTGGAAATGCCGAATATTTTTATTCGATTTTTGTGAAATGACCCTGCAAATAAATCGAATAGAAGCTATACTGTATAGTAAGTAATTATAAATTTACTATAAAATATTTTTTCAAGACAGGTTTTTCCAAACGCGACAACTTTTTCGCATGACTGTAGTAGAATATAATAAAAAAAATATAAAAGTGTTATTGTTTTTTTGTTTTGTTTTCAATTTTTTTTAATATATTTTAATATAAAAGTTTTTTAATATTTATAACAATAAAAGTATAATAATTTTATATTTTTTTTATTATTCAAAAGTTTAATAATTATACAAATAAATTATTATTATAAATATAGATTGTTTTTTTATAAATCTATAGTCGGGTGATAAAAGGGGTTAATTTGGGACAGAAGTAGTTAATTTGAGTAAAAAACTATAAAATATAATTTATTTAACCATAAAAGTATTAGAAGGGTTTTTTCAATTAACTACTTTGAAGATAATAAAAGAAAAACATAACTTTTTATTTTTGATATTATTCAATCTTTGAAAACAATGGAAGAAGAAGAGAAAGGAACCCTCGATGAAACAACCAGATGCAATCAACACAAAAAAGCAATTCAAATACAAGAAACCAGTTTAAAAACTGTATTTCAATATATATTCATGATCTATATGGTTAAAATGCCAGAGTTTAATGAATTAACAACAGTGTCAATCCTTTAAAGTGTCACGGAATCACTGAAAAATCATTATTTGTTAAAATCTTTCAATCTTTCGTTGTTGAACCATTCCCATTGAGAAAGGAAAAGAGAAAGACCATTTTAACACCAAAACAATTGGAGTTGAAGAAGAGCAGAAAAGAAACGAAACAAAGGGAAAAACAAAGGAAAAATTCTTTAACAAAACAAGTTTCAGACAAACCACAAAAAGTGCTGCGTTTTAGACTTCCACATTTTTTAAGTGAACAAATTGAGGTGTTTTTGTTTATTTTTGAAATAGAAATTTATAATTTTTCAATTTATAATCATTTAAAATTAAAAAACTATAATTTAAATTAATATTTTAATTTTATGTTTATTTTGACCTTTAAATAGATTTTTTAAAAATTATAGTTTCAAAATTATATTTATCAAAATTAACTGCCTTTGTCCCTTTTTAATGCTATTTATCCCCCGACTATAATTAAATAAAAACTATAAAATAATTATTAACATTTTTTTTAACATTAACTTCCATAAATATCAGAAATTCTTAAAATGTGTTTTTAGAGTTTTTTGAATTCTCACAACTTCCACATTTTCGAAAACCAAAATTAACGAAAAAAATCAAAGCAAACTTAAAAATAGATGTTTTCATCTTCAAAAAACTAAATGATTGATCGCTCACAGCTTCTTGTATATTTAGCTATATCCTCTGGCTTTTACTTGTTATCCTCATGTGTTCTGTTGATAGATAGCTCGCTTGGATTGGCAAAGATTCCCCAAGCATATGACTTAGATGGGTCACTACTTTTAAAGAACCAAGTTACCTTTTATAGAAACGTGATAATAATGAATGCCCTCATAACATTTTTATATTTGTTTACATTATGTTTCTTTAAAATTCGATGGTCCAAAATTTTCTATTGGGCTATTTATTTGGTGGGGTTTATTTGCCTTTCCACAGTCTTCTTTGTTTCGTTCTCGGGTTTCACAGACATCAAAAAGGTTCAAAACATGACATCTGAGCAAAAACGATACAACGAAAAAAGAAATGAGTGTTGTTTCTATGGGGATGAAACGGCACTATGTAACTGCCATATTGTTGATAAAAATTGTCCAACGTGTGACTTTTCTTTTAAAGATTTGTACTTCTTTGTGTCATTCTGTTCAAATGCAATTTGTGTGGTGGCTTTGTTCAGCTGCTTATGCATAATCATAGCATTCTATTATAAAACACTCAAAGAAAAGGCAAAGGAACACAATCAGACAATTTACCAAATGATGAACGAAAAAGCTTACAACCTTTTCCACAATAAGTCTTTGGCAGAAAGTGAGAACAACACGGAAAAGGAGGCTTTAGTGTAAAAGTGGCAAATTATTCTCTTCATTATTTCTTTATTGATTTTTAGGTGTTTAACTTTTAATGATTCAGAATGTAAGTATACCAATCAATTGTTCACTCTACTCTCAAACATCACATCGACTTCGTCAGGGTTTTTATATAACTTCTTCATCGCTTCGTGGACACTGCGCCCCCTTTTGTAATCACCACTGTTTCGGCATAATAACAAATACTCCACCCAAAACTCGGCTGAACCCTTTGCAATCCATCCAAGTCTCACGCCAGTGTCAAACACGTTCAGCGCACTTTTGTAGTCTTTTTTCTCCTCGAAATACTTGGCCATTTTTATGTATGTGTCGTAACTACACACTGTCTTCAAAAGCCAATCGATGAATTCCTTTACTACACTCTCTTCCTCAACCATTATTATGTCAAAACACTCGTCCTTCAATTGTTCGATGTAAGTCCTGTCGATGTTTAATATTTCGGTTTTCATGACATTCAATTTCGCATTCAAATCGGCAATTTTCTTGATTTTCTCAATTGATATTTCGTAGGGCAGTTTTGGCTTTACCTCTTCGCCGCTTAGCCCTCTCATCTCGTTAAATACCTTTTCCTTCGCTTTTTCACTTACATCGTTAAAAACAGGGTTCTTCAAAACCTCAAACCCTAATTGCGGGTTTCTCTCGTAATAAGTGAGTGCAAGCTCCTTCATAATATCGACCTTTTTATCCGTCATGCTGAAGAGGTATTCCAACATTGTTTTCTTCAATTCTTCACACTCTGGAACGTCGTAAACTGAATCGATCATGCCGACAACGTAATGGTAGCCTTTCAATTTGCTTTTGGCTTCCTCATAAATGATTCTAAGAATTGTGTACAATGGGGTGAGCGACTCCACTGCTTTTAAAAGTTTTTGGTGTGCGATTGTGGTTTTTGGAGCGTACTTTATTTGTTGTTCTTTGATTTGCTCCTCTTTTTTTTCCACGAGATCGGTGTTAAACAATATCACCTTTTTCTTCGTAAGAATTTGGTCCAACTCAAATCGGAAGTACATTAAGTAAACTTCCTCTTCGTACGGATTGTTTGCTATAACACTTTGCAGCACTTTTCGATAATTATCTTCTGGCATAGAACTTAGGTATGTCGTAAAGAGCGTCCAAAGTTCGTCGCACCGTGGGTTGAACTTGAAAGCCTTAGTAAATGCATTTAGTACTTCATGATTGGCGTGTTCAGATTCAATAAGGAACGCTATGTAGTCTTTCCATACCAAGACCCTTATTGGGAACCGGTTCAAGTACCACACAAACGTATCACTAATTCTTTTATCGAAAACAAGATATTCGCTGAGTTCCTTGATATAATATTTCGACACCCTCTTGATGAAATCTTTCCGTGCTTCTTTCTCTTGTTCAAGAATCATTTTGAAAGTCGTGTCTTCTTGTTTATATCGACGCTTCGCAATGTCTTGTTTTGTCCATCTATCGATGACCTTCCTCACTTCTTCACTTGTGTACAGCCCCAATTTTACCAAAGGCAGTAACATCTCGAGGTAGTTTTCACGCTCATGTCTTAATCGCTCCATCAAACTGTCTGTTTTCTTCCCCCTTAAGGGTTTTCTTTCCGTTTTTCGTTTTGAATTACTATTAGAAATACCATACTTTTACTATTTCTTTATTTGACAATAATAATAAATTTATATTATAAAGAATTATAAATCAATTGCTATAATTAATGATAAAATAAATTATATTATATACTAACAATAAAATAGTAAAAATCTGGTTTAATATAGTTTAAATCCATCAGTAGTGTTTTCGACCGATTCCAAAAACTTTTTGGTATTTGCGTTAATGATCATCTTATACACGTCTTTCACTCTCATTTGCCTCTTTTTCATCAGTTTAAGTAAAGCGTCAAACTTTTCGGTTTCCTTTTTGTCGAACCAGTGAAGCTTCAAAGTCGTTTCTATAACACTGGCAGCCATCACTTGCTGAATGAATTTGAGAGCTGGGTCATTGTTAAAGACACCACACCCCCAACGACCACTCGAGACTCTTCCTCTTCCCGATTTAAAGCCTAAATATGCCTTATTTAAATCCCTTATTATATTATCTTTTGTATAACATGACTGGATACATGAATCGATCGCTACAAGATCCACCTCTTCTGTTATCTCGTTCTCGCAACGAATCTCCTCCCACCGAAAGGCCTTCCCAAAGCCACTAACTCGGGAGATTGAGAGCGCATCACTTTATCGTGAATAACTATTTATTTATAGTTAAATGTATTATATCGAAAATAAATCAAACCTTATCACTACACAATCACGCTCGCCCATTGTATCAAACACACAAATTCCAAGGAAAGACTCGGGCTTTGTCGCACATATAATTTCCTCTTGTGTTGCGCCAACCGAAAGTTTTGAGAGATGAAAATTTTTGTTGGCAAAATCGATCTGAACTGGAAAATCGGAGGCCTCTATTCCACCGTTATCAAATAAGACATCCCCAAGCTCGTGGTCGTCAGTCTCCCAGTTAATATCACTTTCTTTCTTTAATACACACCGTTTGAATGTCACCGTTTCTTCTTTCTCTGGGTAAAGTATCATCACATAAAAATAAGCCATAAAGCAGAACAAAATTTGATCTGCTTGCCACGATGAGTAAATAACACTAAAAGACATCGCAGAAGTGTCGCCTTCTATCCACTCAACTCCAAAGAAGCAACAGGAAAGCACGCCAAAAATTTCATTGCGAGAGAACTTAAAAGAACTTTCAACTCCCGTGTGTGAAAGTGGGAAAACTATTGTTTGTCCATCTTTCTTTATCTCATCATTTTCGGTTTGTATAAGAAATTTGATTGAGGTTTGTAATCCCTCAATAAACCAAAGAAAAAAGTCGGGAAACGTTCCACTGAAATTCGGACTTTTTGTTAAATACGTATAAAACCCTTTGATCGTTTTGGAAAAGGTATCTGTTTTTTTGAGTGATTTGTTTTGAAGTTTCATTTGATGGTAATAAAATGATTCATATTCTTCTATTGTACGGATTTTAGCCGAAACCGCTTCGTTCAGTCGTGAAATTTTGAGTTTTAATTGATGTACCATTTCTTTAATTATTTTTAGTTCTTGTTGTTATATAACATTTTCTATAACAATTTTTATTTTTTAATAAATAAATTATTGTTTTATAATAGATAATCAATAATTGTATTTAAATGGTAAAATGTAATATAAAATATACGATGAGTTATTATGAATATTCATAATTTAAAAAAAATTTTGTTTTTATGTTTTGTAATAACATTTTTAAAATTTATTGTATTACAAAACAATAGTTTTTAAATTATATTAAAAATATATTTATTAAAATATAGTAAATTATAATATTATTTAATAATATTTATAATAATTTAATTTTATTATTAATTTTATTAAAAGTAAAAAAAAAATTATAATCAAATATAGAACATTTATAATAATTATAATTTAAAATAATTTTGTAACAAAATTTGTTTTCCAAATATAAAAAAAAAACTTAAAAATAATACAAGATTTTTGAATAATCAAGCGGGAAAATATTGACAAAAACGAAAAAATGAAAATAAAAATAGAATATTTAGTTTTGTTTTTCAAATTTGAAAAGTCATAATAAAAATCGAATAAACAAAGGAATGCAATTAACGTATTAAAACGGGGAAACGGGCATTGACATTTTTCTTTAAAAATTCAACTCTTTTGATAAAAACGATTAAAAATTCGTTTGAGAGACAGTAAATCAAAGTTGAACTTGAAAATGGCAAATTTATTATTTTAGTTAAAAAATACAAAAATCCCATTCAATATAAATGAAGTTGTTGCAATAAAATGAAAATGTCTGAATGTTTTAGAGATATAATTTGTGTTTCTTATTATTTTGAAAAATTACATAAGCATTTTATTCGTTTTTCAACCATTTTGAAATTAAAAAATACGATGATAATACCATATTAATAATAATGCCTTTTTCTCCATTCGTTCTTTTATTTTTACTTTTTATGAAAAGAAAATGTTTAATTTTATTTTTATTTCCATAAACAAATTGAATTAATTTTTTAAAAGAAAACATATTTCCCGAAAAGTTGCTAATAAAAAATCGAATAAATTTATGTAATTGTAAAAGAATTTTCACAAATGAAAAGCAATCAAAGAATCCTATATAAACATTGTGAAATCTTTTTATTTCACTCATGTTCGCTCTTCTCTCATTAGCACTCACTGTCTTTGCTGCAGATCCAGTCCCTGGCTATACTCCTAGTGCTGATAAAGCGACATACACTCCCGCTGCTGATACTACTGGTGTTGATGGTGCAATTGTTAAAATTAATGGTAAATATACTATTGACAACCCAATTTTAGGTGACTTTTTTGTCGACCCCGTTTACGGTCCACTTGTTGTTAAAATGTCTGCTGTACTTGATCCAGCTGTGAAAAATACATATTCGACCATGATGATTCAACCAACCAATTATAATGAAGGATTCTCCCATGAGGATTGTGACCTTACCGTTGAAATTCCAGACACTGAGAAACAAGTTTCAGTCACTTATGTGAATGGCGGCAAAGATGGCTCAAAATCCTTAACAAGTCCAATTACCATCAAAAACGTCAAACGTACAACTGTTCCCACACTTCCATGTTACATTGGATTGCACAAGTATTCTGTTGGTACTTTCAATGTGAAGTACAATCTTGAATTCAATGGAAATGCTGCCACTGATAACACTGAAGATGCCTTGAAAAATTTCCAACGTTTGATAATAGGTTATGACGCAAGTGCCGATACTCAGACTATTACTATTAACTCTATCAACTTCCAAACTAAAGTTAATTTCGCTGATTGGACTTTATTAAATGCCGAAATTCGAACAAGTATAACAACCCATGTAACTGTTTTGATAGCTGATGCTTTGAAGGCTGAGACTGCTCCTTATATGTTGAAGATCGAAGACACAAAGCTTTTCATCAAGTCAGGAACTCCAGTCACTCCAACTCCAGAACCAGAACCAGACAATGCTTTTGGTTACACCATCTTGGCTTTGATTGCCTTCTTCTTGGCTTTGTTCTAAACACATTCTTCTTTAGTTTTTTTTTGGTTTTATTTTTTTTAATAAGTTCTACTATTAATATACTATTGAAAATTAATTTCTTTATAATTATATCATAATAAATTTTATTAATTAATTTTAATTATATGGATTTAACTCTATTTAAAAATAAATGTTTTGTCCCTCGTTAAAATATATCATAATATAAATACTATATATATTAAAAACTATTAACAAATTGTAAAATACTTATAAATTAAACTATAACTAGACCACATCGTTGAAGTCTTGTATTTCCTTCTCAGTAGGACCTTCACTTTCCCTTTTCATATCCTCCATATTAATGACGCACAGGTCTTTGCAAAGTTCCTCGTCGAGTTCGACGTCTTCGTTATTCAAGAATTCCTCTTTTCCTTCTCCCGATTTCGACTCGACAAATCTGCTTTCGTTGTCTTTCCAACAGCCATCAGTGAAGACAAAAGCGTCTCTTTTCTCCTCTGTGATCTGCATGATAGCGACCAATTTGCATTCCGACTCCATCTCGCCGAGATTGTTAAACTTGAGGAAATAGGACTCTTCGTCCCGTTGTTTTCCTAAGACTATGAAACCATTGACTTTCCCATCTTTCACTACACAGAGACGACCATACTTATCTCGTTTTATATTGAGTGCTTCTTTCTCCTCGTTACACCACACAATCTCGTTGTTTGAAAGAGAAAGGTACCACTTCCCAAATATGAGACGAGTTGTATAGTCAAACGCCCCAGTGCACATGATTATTTGTTCGCAGTCCTCGTTCCGCACAAATCGCAAAGTGACTCGTCTCGGCTTTTTGAGTGATAAGATTGCACGAAAATAGGGCGTGCCGGGAATCACATCGACATTCGGGATCTCATTAATCAAACTCAAGAAAAAATCATCTCGCATTCTCTTCTCGTCAATCTTGGCGAAAAGCGAGAAATCTGACTTCTCTGAGAGGCTGGCGTAAAGAGGAGCACATAAAAGGGCAAAATATGCAGAACCTTTGAACTGGATTATGTCGACCATCCCAAACGGGATCTCGTCTTCTTTCTCCATGTTCGGAAACGCCCACAACTTTTTGTTCGAGAATTGCCAGCGCGTTGGAACACGCGGATTGTCTTGTACAATCAGTCTGAAAGGGTATGACAACTCAACAGTCAAACAGACATCGCGCCCCTTCGACGGAACACCCAGAACACTTGTTATTGTGATCACGCAAGTTTGTGTCTCGACGTCCGGAGACACCATTTCAAATAATGTCTGATTCTTCGATGAGTCAGAAGGGACTACAAACAAAGTACCATCTTTACGGCGCCCTGTCGCACATGATAGAAATGTTGACATCAGACCATCTGTCCGCATCGAAAAGGTCCAATCACTTATCATCTCACTTCTACAAAATGAGAGGTGTAAGATTCATTTTTTAATTTTATTTTTAAGTTCTACGTCTGGGTTATATTTTTCCAAAAATTGTGCGATAATTCTGTCGTGAAAAGGTTTATAAAAGAGGTGTTAAACGACGCATAAAAAAACGACAGACTTTCGTGTTTTGTGTTGGTGTTTAGTAAAGTTAAAGTGTTCATGTTTAAAGTATTTTAAACCAAACTAATTATTTTCGAATAATTTAAATATAGTTTTATAAATCACTAATAATTACAACAAATCAAAAATACAATTTAAAAATTTATAATAATTTAATAAATAAATATAGTAAAATAAAACCAAATATTTGTTTAATATAAAATACTAATAATAATAGTATTTTTGGATTATATTATAAAATAACTATTAAAAACAAAAAGCCGAGAATTAGTTGATAGAATAAAAGAAGTGGTGGACAAGAGCCTTCTTGTTTAATTGTTGAAGTTCTTCCCATTGCACCACAAAGATGTCAACAAAGTATTTCAATATTTTCGATGTTAATGACAGTGAAGTGACTCTACAAACACTTTCGAAGTAAATCAGTTTTGTTTTCTTTGTTCTAAAAAGCTAAGTGTTATTAAACTATATTTAAACTAATATATTGTTAATTGAATAATTTGTATTTGACAGGAGTTGTTAAATAAAAACAGCTCGTTAATTATAAATATTAATAAATCAAAAATATAATTATAATAAATAGTATAAAATTATAATAATAAAATAATAATAAAATAAATATATTATTGAATATAATAAAATTATAATAAAATATTAATAAATGAAATAATAATAAATAGTATAAAATATAATAAAATTATAATAAAAATATAATAAAAAACAAACATTCAAGAACCAACAAGATACCACAACAGGTACACAAGTACCTGGTCCATTACAAAGCAAAACGTCTGGTTTCAATTTAAAAGTCAAAACAACAGACATGATCAACGCGTAGATTGTAGTGAACACCGATGTGATATAACTCTGTCCGACATTTCTACTTCTTGGGATTTTGTGGATGACAGATTTTCCTTTTAAAGAGAGCATTTTAGTCTGCGATATCGTATCGGACTCTGCGACAATGACATCATATCTAATTATATTATTAGAACATTTTTCATCGAGTGGAGTAAGTATATGAAGCATCTCTGAAGTATGTCCACCACTTCCAAGGACTACGCAGACTTCTTTCTTTGTATTAAGTCCGCACCACTCTTCTAAGCACTCGGCGATCTTAACTTTGTCACTCTTAGAGTCCAAAACAATGTCTTTCTGTCTCTCAAAAGTGCACTGTGCAATCACTGTATATAGACTTGAAGGTGACTCACACAAAGTCACGGCGTGAAGATCTGAAAGTTTCTTCGCCATTTCAATTTGATGGTTGTTCATCAACTTATCGTTGATGACGACTATCGTCGGCTTCCTCAGACTTAACGCCTCACTGACAGATCCAGCACCAGCGTGTGTTATAATGACATCCGCACTTCGCATCTCCTCACTGATCGTGTTTTTCAGTCCAAATGTCGTTATCTTCATCGACTCGGTCGATTGTGGAATGACTTTCCCTCGGCCGTATTGAATTGTTATTTCTTCAACGCCCTTCATTTTTAATAGTTCAAGGAATTTACCGTCGGTAAATTGGGTGACTAAGTCTTCAAACTCCGTCGTGCCAACTGTCACAAACACTTTCATTCTGGTTTTTATAGATTATTATAGTTTATAATAGTTTATTTTAAGTATTATAGTTTATTATAGTTTTTAATTCTTTTAATTTATTATAATTATAATAGTTAATTAAATGGTTAATTACTACATTACTACTATTTCTGTTTGTAACAGTTTTGTTGGTAAATTAATAGTTTGTATCTAGTTATATTTTCTAGTATAAATATATAGTATAAAAAATCATAATCTATAGAATAAAACAAATGCTAGATTGAATAGTAAATAAGAATGAAAAAAATACCACTGAATTAGCATTTCTCGATCAACGAGATTTGTGCGAAGATGCTGTGTGTTGTGAGTAAAGTGAGAGTGATGCCGACAGTTTTAGTGAGAGTAGGCATAGTTTTAGTATAGTAAGCTACAGCGAGAGTTATGATGATAGTAGCAATATATGCGTAGTATTTCTTAACTTTATATTTCTTATCTCCAATAGGGACTTCTGGCTTCACTTCACCTATAATAATAGACACACAACAGAAGACTAAGAACGCGATGAACACGGCATAGAACTCCTTAGTAATTAAAGTAGCTATGAAAAAGGCTAAGACAGCAAAAAGAGTATAGATCACACTGAACTTATTATAATTCGTTCGAATGCGATCAGTCACTTCTTCGACTTTCTTTGGAAGGGTGTATTTGCACCCAATGAAATTGTCAAACTCTTTTGAGACACTTTTAACGTAGTCCTTCCCCATTTAACAATTTTGTTTTTTTCGAGTTTAGAGGCCATTTTATAAGTTCTTTTTAAGTCAAATTTTCATGTTGGAAATCGTCGAAAAATAGGTTGGTAATGTATAGTTATTAAATAATTTATTTACTATTTGAAATATGGTTTTCATAATTCTGTTGCTTTTTGTACCAATTTTGGAGTAGTGTTTTAGGTTTGGAGTTTTTTCACGAAACGTCCACAAATTATTTGGTATTGAAATGCTAAAATTGGTTCTTTTCTTAAATAAGTATTAACAAAATATGAGTTGTGGTTAATAGTTATATATTAATAGATTAATTTCTAGTTGTATTTTTAAGATCGAAAATTGTGCTTTATTCACTAATTTGTGTTATTAAATCATTTTACTATATTATATAGTATTATTGATAAATGTATGAAAATACAAATTTCGTGGAAATTGGTTGGAAATGAATATTAGTAAGGTTTTAACTATTTTTAGTTTAAAAAGCTAAATAATTAATTATGTTTGGTTCATTAAACATTATAATTTTAGATTTATGAAGACTAAAAAATCGGGAAAAGTAATAGTAATGTATAAATTAAATTTATTTAATAATTACTTAGATGACATTTTTAAATTGAAATAATATAATAGAGTACATTAACATACTCATTGAATTACATCAGTAAAGTTCCAAACAAGCAGAACTAAGCTTCCAACGACCAGTAAAGAGCATTCAGTCACAAACAATCCTAGAGCTATATACGGAGTTATATCATCACTATGTGTTTTTCCTTGAAAAGCATAAAAAGCGAGTAAAATCCAAAGACAAGGAACAAAGAACCCACTTCCTAAGAGTAAAACAGACATCATTGGACTTACGTACTCTGGTTCTTTTATTTGTATTTTAGAACGAAAAATGTCCATTTCCACTTCAAAATCAGCTAAACTTGGTACAGTTAACATATTTGACATTATACACCAATTTTTGGCTTTGAAGATTCTTTTTCTGGAGTCTAACATTTTTCCTTATCTTTTTATTTTTATGTCTGTGTTTACTATATGTTACTAATATTGAACTATAGCTATAAATATATTAACTAAAAACGTATCAAATTATTATAAGTCTTTTAAAATAATAAATTAATATTTTATTATTTTATTATAGATTAGATTTTATATTTATAAAAATGTAATTGTTTTCTTTTCTATATTTTCTTTATTCACCTTTCTATTATAGTATATTTTAATATTTTACTAGTATATTAATAATTAATTCAAATTTATATTTTTATAATAAAATAACAATTTCAACTCTAGTTAAACCATAGTTAACTTTTTAAACTATAAAAAAACTATTTTCAATTCAATTTGAATAAATTAAACAGTTCGTTTTTCCGTCTTCAAACTACGACAAGAGTGAACGATTTCCAGATTTTGACAGACAAGAACAAACAACAAATAACAAAACGGATTCAACACAAAACAATTGTTTAACAAGCGAAGTAAATAGTAAAAGATATAAATCATAAATGGTTATGTTCACAGATCATCTTAGTGATATTCCACGTGTTAGTTTTCGTTCTAAAATTCAAATTAATTCTAAATGGGCACCCCGTCTTTTTTGATCTTCTTTTTCTTGTCCCCTTAGTCTTTTCATTAATTTTACTCAACTCGACTTCTTCTGTAGGAGACCCCGAGCAACTCCTATATTTCCCTGAACATTGACACACTAAGACGACTTTCCTCTTCGTTCCGTCTTTCATCGATTTGTTATTTCCGCTTCCCTTTCTCAAAACGACTCCAACGTCCTTTGCCCATTCATTGAGTGCCTGCATCGCCTCCTCGTACGTCTGAAATTCGCTGAGACCCTCGTATTTAGTGATTCGATGTGTTTCGAGTTCTTTCGGTATTGTCAATTCAGCCACTGCGGAATTAGTCGGGACGCTTTGTGGTCGTTCGAACGGGGTGTTTTGTTGGAGACAGAAGTTTTGGTTGAGAGGGGAGAACATAGAGTTGTGTGTATACGACGGTTGGAAGAGGATTTCGCTTGTTGCTGAGACGGGTCTTGGGTATCTCAAGACATTTGATGTTTGTGTTTGATTAGTTTGGACCAAATTAATAGGGGAAAAGACTGTTCGAGTTGGGGAGATGTCGTTAAAGCTCGACGTAGTCTTTTCCGAGAAGGACAAGTCGAAGTTTTCTGTTTTAACTTCTGGTTGTCTTCTAGCTTGGATGACAGGAGGGACGCATTTTTTGAAGAGGGATTGTGGTGGAGGAGCAACAGGTGCGAAGTGTGAGATGTTTTGAAAGGAAGAAAAAGTTTGATTTGGAAGTTTTTGTTGAGTGAATGAATTTGAAGTATACCCCGTTCCCTCATACTTCTGAAATGGTTTTGGTTCTTCTTCTTTGATCGCACTGGTCTTTTGAAATCGCCTTTGAAACGGTGAAAATGCATTTTGTGTAAATTGTGATGGTGTTGGCTTCGAATATGTCGATAATTGGGTCTCAAGGGTTTGCACAGTAATCGGGTGAAAACGAGGGACTTCGGGGGGGTTCAATAAATCGGGAGACATTGTAAAAGGGGGCCGGTCGACACTAATTGGGGATAACGCACTATATCGCACTTGAGATGAAAATTGAGGTGCTAATGACTGAGTCGACTCGGAGCAATACGCCGGCGTTGCTGTCGGCTTCTCAACATACGGAAACATTGCTTTTTTAGTCTTTTTCAAGTCTTATTTTTGCTTGGTAAACCATATTCTTGTACTATTTAATTTAATTGATTTACTATTGATGTATAATACAAGAGGTTATTTCAGAATTTGGTTGAATTTAGGATGCTTGTGTTTGATTGGTATTTCAAAACTAGTATATTATAGTAATTTTATTTTTAGATGTAGTTTGTTGTTTTTATTATCTTCGAAGGTAATGATTCTATTTATGGAAAAAGTTAAACAACTTCATTTCTTTATTTATAAAGTTGGGCGGGTTATCGTTAATAAACGGGATTTTATTAAAAATTGATTAATTTTAGTATTGTCGTTTGTTAAAAAAAAATTTAAAATGATCCGCTTTATATTGTGTTGTTGTTAAAATCTATTTTTATTTTTTTTTCAAATTCCTGGTATTATTTTAATTTAATTATTGTTATTTATTTAAAATAACAATAAATGTATATTTAAACTAAAATTATATTAGTTGGTATAGTTATATCGTGTTGTATTATATAAATTAAATAAATTAAAAGAACAACTTTCTTCACCATTATCTAAACAAAAAAAATAAAATCCGTCTTTATTTTATTGAAATAAGACTTTTCAGCCATTGTTTAAGTATCCCCACCCACTATTTTATGTTTTTATTTGGAATACAAGCCTTTTCTTTTTATTTTTATTTTTTTAATGTCATAACTATCCAATTAATTTATATTATTATGTTAAAAAATTTTATTATTTTATTTAATATTTTTAATAATTATAACATAACTTATTAATTAAAATTTTAACATATTTTGTTATTATTTTGTATTAGATATTATATTACATTCAATTATTTTTAATTATAATTTAAATTATTATATCAAGAATTATTTATTATAATTTTTTTTACCAATCATTATAATATAATAACAAATTACAACCAACTCAAAAATAAAAAGACGAAATTGTTTTGGCATTTCGAAAATTTTGTAATTTTTTTTGTTTTTTCAAAAATACATCTTTTTCAATTCAATAAAATATGGAAAAATACTAATAAAGTGTTATTAACCCAAAATATTATCTAAAAATATATTTTTAATTCACAACGAATAAAATAAGTTTCAAGTCATCCTCAAAATGTTCAAGACAAATTATAAAAAAATAGTAAAAATAAACTATAATTGGTCTTTTTAACAATAATTAGAGTTGTTTTTATATTAATACTTTTTAAATACTTTGATTTACTTTTAATCCCGCTTTATAGCCAAAAATGGAGTATTATTTTGTTTTCACTTGAACAATAAAAGGAATTCTAGTCAGAGAACAATTCACTCACCAATAACAAGTATATATATAGTATCTTACTATAAAATGAATAGTAAAAAAAGAACTGCTATCCAATTTGATTTAAAAAAAACGGTGTTAGAGTAATTAAAAAATCAAAAATTGATGGACATTGAAATGGAAATTACTACAAAACTTGAAAAAAATAATCGAGTGTTTTATGGCCGAGAAACGGATCACTGGCAAAGACGAGAAAATAGCGAGTCACCACATCCAAGTTTCAAAGGACATTCGCAAAGCTTTTGCTCTCAACGACGACGAGGATGTCATACAAACGTACACTGGAACTTTAAAAATGACGAATGGATCTACAAAAGGAAAGATGCATATCACTCAAAACTTCTTTTGTTATGTTCCTATATTTGTAAAGGGGAATATAAGTATTCGTATTTCTGATTTAATATCTATAACAGATGAAATATTGATGATAGATACAATAGGTACTAAATATACCTTTTCGCCGCTCTTAGGTGCGACTGAATGTTACAACTTAATGAATTATTTATTTCTCTACCCATTCGCTTTACTTAAGTTAAGTGTCTATAAAACACATACATTAGAAAATATACCTCAAAATAGAGTCTCAGGGTTCGACTTTGAGACTGCTCAAACAGCATTAACTACAGCACAAGAAGTGAAATTATTAAAGTTGGACACTAAAAGAGAATTGGAAGCTCAACAAAGCACTTTACAATATATTAACAAAATGTTGGACAAAAACGAAGAAACGTTGGACGACATCGACGATAACATCGAAGCAATCAATTCTATCACTTATGAAATAAAATTACAATACACCAATAAAATTAAAAAAAATCCGCCCCCGGTTCTCGAACCACAGGTCCTCACCGAACAACTCAAACAACTACCCACCCCGCAAAAGATCGAAATTAAAGTTTTGTGGAAATTGGAGAATGACACTCTAATACCAGCGGTCTTATCCATCTTCGACGCGGAGATCAAAATCAACGAGGAAAGCGCAAATACAAAGAAAAAGTTATTAACGCGGCAATTTGATATAAAAAGCATCACTGGCCTCTTCATGCGTGCTCGGCCTTTACATCTCAACATTTCATTAGACTCCGTCGGCAAAGAAAAGTCGCGCCTTAGACTTTTCGCGACGTGTTTGCAATTCATCGTCAACGAAATTTTCATTCGATATTTCGTGTTGAAAGGAACAAACGTCTCCGTGACGTTCGAGCCCAACTCCCGTGTCTTCGACTTTGGTGACGAGCGAATTACTAAGACCTTTTTGGGGTCTCCTGCCATTAAAGGGCAAATCCAAGCTACTGTTGACGATGAAACAGCACTTAAATTGTTCTCAGGAAAAGATCGAGAGGATTACTTGAAGATGCGTGAGATGAATAAAAAGACCGTCACATTATTACAAGATGTCACACAATTGAACTCAGAGACGTCCAGACTTGCAATGGACTCAACCCAAAAGGTAAACGACTTGTCCGATAGAATGGAAAGGCAACTGAACATTATAGAAGATAAGAAGACTAAAGTCGAGGACACTTTAAGAAAATATGGTAAAAACTAACGAAGATTAATTCACTATTTGTTTGATTTACTATATCTCTGTATAATTAATGTTATAATTACTTTACTAATATAAATAGTTTATAAATACTTTTATTTGTACTTAACGGTGTATAAATAGAAAAATCCAATTGAATATTAATTATCAATTAATGGATTTTAATTACTATATTAATAATAAAATAAATGGTGTATCATATATATGGAATAATTATAATTTATTTATAGTACAGTACTGTTTGACTTATTCAGAACTATATAAAAACCATAAAGAACTATATAATTAGAAGCGATGGACAAGTCGATGTTATTAGTTGAAAACGGCGAGAAGCGGAACACTCCGATGGTGATGGAGGTTGGAGAAGTGAAGCGAGGCTTTACGACGAAAGTAGGAGCGAGCGAAGCACTTTTGCGAGCGAAACGATTTCTTCCGATGATGGCTGAAGCGAACAAAGGAGTGACGGTTGGTGAGAAGGATGTTGATATTGAACCATTGGACAAGTCAAACCCTACTTCAGAAGACACGAAGAAGGAGACGACTGACGGGAAATGTTACGTTGAGATGGATATAGCTCTTGGCGTCTTAGAAGAGAAAGGGAGTGGCTCCGAGTCTGAATGTTGTATTGAAGAGATTTGATTAGTGGAAGTTAAGCCTCAAAGTTGTCGAACGGAACCCTAATTATTTTTTTCAGAGATTTCCATAAATAGCAGACGAAAAGCCGAGAAATAAAAAAAGGGAGCTGAAGAACTCGAAAAAAGTAAAACATGATCATCCCAGTTAGATGCTTCACGTGCGGCAAAGTCATTGGGAACAAATGGGACGAGTTCTATCACCTCTCGAAACAAATGCCGATGGATCAGGTCTTTTCTGAACTTGGCATTGACCGCTATTGTTGCCGAAGAATGTTGATCTCACACGTTAACTTGATAGGAACACTCTCTTCATACGATTTGCCTTCCGAGAAGCTCAAACAATAATTTAACCGACTGCTTGATTGTTTCTTTGTCATTCCTTTCACTTTTTTATAACTGAAATTGTTATTATCAGAAGACAATGAAGCGCTACGAATATGAGGACAAAGGAAAGAAGCGACTTCCTGAGACGTTGACGGAGACCATCGGCGGGGTATGGGGCGACACAAAAATTGTTAGGGTTTCACGAACAACGGAGAAAAGCGACGACTCAGACCCGCTCCTTGAATTTTATGACGACGAAATTAACGACCAGCAGAAACAAGAGGTCGAGCTTGCGTTGATGCTTAATCCAAAGAATAAGGACGCGGGAGATAGTTGGGCGGAGGGACAAATGGTTGCGGGAGGTGTCAAAAGAGCAGAGAAGAGTGGAGTTATAGAGGAAGAAGAGGAAGTCCAAATTTTGGTCAAAAAGATTATCCCACAGTTCATGGAAGGGATGCAAGGAAGGTTACAACAAGCTTCTGTTGTTGTACCACTTAAGGACGCGACGTCGGATATAGCAAAACTCTCAAAGACAGGCAGCGAGACGTTAATCAAATTTCGTGAACGAAAAGAGAAGGAAAAGGGGAGTAAAAAGGTGTTAGAGAGTGACACTGCTTTATCGAAACTGCACGAGACACATGGGAATACCACTTCAATCCAAACAGACAAAAGTTTGAAAAGTGACTCAAAAACGCATCAAAAAGACGAGGAAGACCCCTTTGTGGTGCGCGCGAAGATCAAAAAGGTGCGGGAAGAATTACCAATACATAAGAAGCGGATGGACATTATTAACACGATTCGTGAGAATCAAGCCGTTATTATAGTTGGTGAGACGGGGTCAGGCAAAACAACACAAATAGTCCAATACCTTTATGAGAGTGGGTTTGGTAAAAAAGGAATCATCGGCTGTACACAACCGCGACGAGTCGCTGCAGTGAGTGTGTGTGAGCGTGTGAGTGTTGAAATGAGTAGTACGGTAGGTTCATTAGTAGGATACACCATTCGGTTTGAGGACAAGACGTCGCCCAAGACGCGAGTGAAGTTTATGACGGACGGGATTCTGTTACGGGAAATAGTGACGGACCCCTTTCTTGATAAGTACAGTGTTATTATCATGGATGAAGCCCATGAAAGAAGTTTGAATACTGACATCCTCTTTGGAGTCTTAAAACGAGTTCTTCGTGAGAGAAGTGATATCCGTTTAGTCATAACATCAGCTACGATAGATGAGAACAAACTGTCGAACTTCTTTGGGAGGATTCCCGTCTTACATATTGAAGGGAGGACCTTTCCAGTGAAAGTGAATTACATGCGGTCGTCCCCAAGTGATTATATAGAGACTGCGACACGAGAGATCATCAGTATACACACGCATCAAGGTCCGGGGGATATCTTAGTGTTCATGACTGGACAAGAAGACATCGAAATCACATGTGAGATAGTAAGAGAGAAGTTACGCGATCTAGGAAAGAAAGTGGAAAAGCCCTTAGAAGTCATTCCTATTTATAGTCAACTCTCGTCGGAGGCGCAAAAGAAGATCTTTGAGGAAAGTGAGAACCGGAAAGTGATTGTTGCGACGAATATAGCAGAAACCTCCTTGACGGTCAATGGAGTCCGCTTTGTCATCGACTCGGGTCTTGGGAAATGGAAGGTGTACAACCCGAAGATCGGGATGGACTCGCTTCAAGTCTTTCCGGAGAGTAAACAAAATGCGGAGCAACGGAAGGGCCGAGCGGGACGAACGCAGAGTGGGGTGTGTTATCGGATGTTTACTGAGTCGACGTATAACCGTGATTTGCTTGACGCGCCGATACCTGAGATTCAGCGGACGAATCTGAGTAACACCATTTTGTTGTTAAAAGCGATTGGGATAGAGAAGGTCATAGACTTTGAGATGTTAGACCCCCCGAGTGAAGAGTCAGTGATGAACTCGATGTATGAGTTATGGGTGTTAGGTGCATTAAATGAAAGTGGTGCACTGACGCAATTGGGGAAGAAGATGTCTGAGTTTCCATTAGAACCAGCACTAGGGAAGTTATTAATAACATCAGAAGAGTACAATTGTAGTGAAGAGGCATTGACTATTGCAGCTATGCTGACAGTACCAAACGTCTTTGTAAGACCTAAAGAAAGAGAAGAAGAGGCGGACGCCGCAAGAGAAAAGTTCTATCAGCCGGACTCTGATCATATCACGTTGGTCCATGTCTACAATCAATGGAAGAAGCATGAGGGAGACAAACGATGGTGTGAAAGTAACTTTGTGAATATGAAGGGGATGAACAAAGCAAAAGACGTGAGGACGCAACTTGCGGATATGCTTAGAAAGTGTGGAGGGAAAGAAGTGTCATGTGGGAGAGAGTTGGAGAAGTTGAGGAAGTGTATCACAGCGTGCTACTTCTATAACGCAGCAAAGATCAAAGGACAAAGTTATGCAAATTTAAGAACTGGTGTTAATTGTGTCTTACACCCTACATCGGCATTGTTTAATATGGGAGTTAAACCTAACTATGTGATTTACCATGAACTACTTCTCACTTCGAATTCATATATGAGATGCGTCACAGCTATTGAGGGAAAGTGGCTTGCTGAGTTGGGAGAAGTCTTTTTCCAGCAAATCAATTTGAAAAAGTCTACAAAATAATTGTCGATTGTGTTTTGTTCTTTTAATGGTTTAGAAATGAGTTCTTTGGAGTAAATAATTAAAGAAAGTTGTATTCAATTGGTATATTATACTTTTTTTATTATTTTATTATAATTATATTTTTAATAGAATTACTTTAAAAAAGAGTGAATTATTAAATATGGTTTTAATTTAACCATATTTAATAGCATTTAGAAAATTTTAATTATGATAAAAAATAAAAAGTGCATTTGCCGGGACTCGAACCCGGATCTCCACCTTGGAAGGGTGGAATTCTGCCCTTAGACCACAAATGCTTCACATAAAATGAACATCATATTTAAATTTAAATAGTATTAATTCCAATATTTATAAATAAATCATTTTAATTTATTGATTAATTAAATTAATTAATTTCAATATAGAAACAAATAAAAATTATTGTTTTTACTTTCTGACTAACATTTTTGCTTTCTTTTGACGTTTAAAAAAGAAACAATCACAAAACTAATATAAAACCATTACCAACTTATAATTTAACTAATAAAATTCCAATTCTATTTAAAGCTTTTTTATTGTGTTCCTCATTATAATTAAATTATAGTAAACAGCTACCATATCTATAGTAACCAAACAAACTCTGAAACCATTATATGGATAAGAACATCAAATACGTTCAATTGAATTCCAAACCGTTGCCTTCCCTTCCGCATCAACCGGAAACCGAATTAGAAACCGTACCTCCTCCCTCCGTTGAGTATCAACCCGTTCCTCTGATTCGCGAACAAGACCTTCAAATTCCCCACGGCACTTTTAAACCCAAAGATGAGGACAAAACCACTGTTATAGACAAATATGGTTCTATAGTCTTATTTGTCTTAGGTTTTATCTTCCCGTGTTTCTGGTTAATCAATGGGTGTATGTGTTGTTGCTCTCGTGTGAAGACTGGTTTTATCTGGCCTGCATTATCGCTCTTAATGTTTATTATTTTGACTCTTATATCTCTTTCTATATGCTTTGGATTAGTCTACGCAGCCACCTCAGTCACTCAAGACTCCGACTGGTCAAGTTGGCTTCGGCTCCTCCTCTTCTTCCTTTAATTCACTCCCACTATTTTACTATTTCTTATTAGTTCTTTTACTATATTATAACTCTTAAACGTTTGAACGACAAAAGACCTTTGATATATGATAAAAGACCTTAGAACCTGCAGAGTACAATGGAGATGTTATCTGCAGACTGGTCTGAAGAACAACTGATGAAGGCCAAGTCCTTCATCATTGAAGCCAACTCACCTGTTCTGAATATCGATCTTTTTGAGTGTAATAATTGATAAGCCATTTCATTAGTTACTTCATCCCATAACCCATCAGAAGCTACTATTAAATACTCTTCATCACTTCCTCTGTCATATACAGTAGTCTCGGGGATATGTGTTAAAACGGGTTTGTTTTCTATATCTCCTACACTACGCGAGACGCGAAGTCCAGATACTCTCCCCGCAGCATCGACAAACCCTCCCGCCTTCTTAATTCTTTTTTGTTCCATTTTCATCGTTGGCTCATGTTCAGTACACAACTGAATTGCTTTCTCCGACGTCACATAGACTGCGCGACAATCGCCACACTGCGCGGTATATATCTTTAATGGCGTTAAAAAGACTACCGTCACACAAGCCCCATCCTTCACTCCCATCTTAACAAACTCACATTGAATCACCTCAAAAGCTTCTTTAAAGGCTTCTTCGATAGTTATAGGTTTCTTAAGAACTTCATAGAAGATATCAGGAAACATCACATTGAAGTAATACGCCGTCTGAACCCCATAATGCCCATCAGCTACACCAAGCAAAAAGTGATCAGGCCCCGCAAAATTGGGTATACACAACATCGAGTCCTGCATCTCGTCTCTATCACTACACATCTGAGCCGTAGAAAGTGTCGTCGGAACACTCCGGAACTTTAAAAGATCCGCAAAGCGATTTAAGAACTTATACTGCTTCAGACGAATACACCCATCAACTCGTACGACTACCTCCTTCTTTTTCTTCATATCTAAAGTACTCTCTAGCACCCCTCGCTTCCTCCCAAAGACTTCAAATTTATTGAACTCTTTGAAGAAGTCTAGATCGTTATATGAGCAGTCCAAAAACGCCAAATTCGCGGGGTTCTCGAAATTCGGCATCTCAGAAAGTGCGTTAAAGCTCACGTCGACATGAACTAATTTACTACAATTCTCCCCAAAGGTCGGTGGTTTCGAGATATAATTGTTGGCAAGACACAACTGTTGTAACTCCTTCATGCCATTCACAAATTCACAATTCTTCACATAACAATTGGCTATATCCAATGTGTTCAACCCAGTGAGGACAGACAAACTGTTCACGTCATAGATCGGATTGCAGCAGATGTGGAGCCGCAACAAGTGCGGGATCTTAATAATCACCGGCGGGATCTCATTAAATTGATTTTCGCCCAAATGCAGAACGGTCAGCTCAACTAAACTTTCCATCTCATTCGGCAAATCTTTCAATTTGTTTCCGGCAATATAAAATCGTTCCAAACTACTCAAATTCGAGATATAATTCGGAACACTCACAATCGAATTGAAACTCAAATTTAATCGTTTCAGATTCACTAATTTCGAGATCGTCATGTCAATCACGCTTAACTCATTAAATGAAAGATCTAAAACTTGAAGCCGTATCCACGATATACGCGGATTAAAAGACTTGATCCGATTCCATGATAAGTCACACGCATTCATGCGAGTAACATTCAGTAACCCAACAGGGATCTCCTCTAACGTGTTGTGCTTCCCATAGAAAAATTGAATATTTGAATTTTCTTCAAAGTCAATGCGTTTCAGTTCATTGCAATTAACCCGACACATGGCGACGCGCCGTGGAACTATTGGAATCTTGTCTAATCTATTTCCTGTCACATCAAAATCTTCGAGGTTCTCAAATTTTGAAAAACTCGCCGGAAGTCGCCCCAACCCCGCATCAATTGCTGAGATTTTTTTGATGTTCGCCGGGCCTTCGTTCTCGTCAAATTTCGGGCTTTTGGTCGAATTCATGTTGAATTCTCGAAGTTTTGGAAAGACTTTTTGAGAGAACGTGATTTGCGTCAACGGATTGTTGTCGACAGTTAAAATCTCTAAATTACTCAAACACGTCATCTCATTCGGGAGATTTTCAATCTCGTTTCCTCTGACGTTCAATCTTGTCAAATTACTCAAATGTGATATCTCTGGCGGAATGACGGAATAGTTATTGAATTCAGTATCAAGTTCATTCAGTCCACTCAGACTAAAAAGTGATGGCGGCAACACGTGAAAATCGTTTTGCGACAGACCAATGTACGTAAGACGCGATAACGTCGAGATGTTCCGAGGAAGCTCAGTTAAAAAGTTTGAGATGACGTTCAACTTAATTAAATTGGTCAGAGAAGTGATCGAGGCTGGAAGCGCACTTAATTTGTTACAACACATGTTGAGTTCTGTTAAATTTATTAAAGAGTCAATAATTTCGGGAATAGAAGATATAGAATTTTGGGCGAAAACAAGCCGCTGCAAATTTTTCAGCGCAAATAATTCGGACGGGATTTTTGAAATTTTGTTTTGTGAAATAGAAAAACTGGTCAACTCAGTCAACTCACTGATTTTGGAAGGAATCTCGGAAATACCATTTTTATCTAATGATAAGAGTTGTACTTGTTTGTTTTGTGCGATGATCTCATCGGGAAATGTTGTCAAATGTTCTTTGTCACGAGTCACCGTTTTCATTATTTTCTTATTTTCTAGATCTTGTTTCTAAGTCTTGTAATAAATAGAAGTGGACTTCGAATTTGTTTTTATTTATTTTATGTTTTGAAAGTGTGGTTACTAATATTTCATTTTGAAAGAACAAAATTTATTTAAAATTTAATTTATTTTATTAAACTTAATAATAGGAATTAGCATTGTTTTTATATAAAGAAAATGATTATTTGTATTTTATATTTTTAAAAACATCTATGGTTTTTAAATAGGAAATTTATCGTTTTTATTTTTTTTAATAACAACCAAATTTTTCTGTTTTTTTATTCAAGTGTATAATTTAATTCTGATAATTTGATAAATTAGTTACATTAAAACAAATAGTTTCATTGTTTTTAAAAATTTGATTATAGATCAATTTTATTAATTTAGTTGTTTAAAATTAGACATATATAGTTAAAATAATAATATATTTTTAATAATTATTTTTTTGAAAAAAAATTTTTTTTATTAACAAACTCGAAAATGAAAATTTTCGTTTAATTTAAAATTGAAATACGAAAAAAATATCCAATAATAACACATTAGATTATTTTGGTTTTTATTTTAACAAAAGAATTATATTTTTATTTATAATATAATATATAATAAATAATAATATATATTTAATATAATAATATATATCTAATAAACAAAAAAAAATATAATATATTAGACTTCTCTTTTTATTATGAAAAATTAGTATTTAAAAATGCTATTAAAACGGGATGTTATTTTTTACCCGGTTCTTTAGCGTTTTTGACACTAATAATTATTGTTAAAACATGCAAGCCCGAAGTCTATAATAAATGAATAAATAAAACAGTTGTTTTAAAAACAAAAATGTTTTTGTTTTCACAAAAGTTAATTTAATTAACACTTTAAATAACATTAAACAAAATTCAAGTGTTCTAAAAATCGGGAAATGTCGAGTTTATTAAATAAATTTCCATTTTTTTAGAGTTTGTATTATGTGCATAAACTATACACAAGCTAAATAAGGAAAATCATCAAAAATTGGATTAATATCCCTGAAAAACAAACCAAAACAAAAATAAGGGCGTTATTTTAAGTGTTAAGTATTTTAAAAAAAATTTTATCAAATTGCCTTCGACATGAACAACCATTCACCAATACTATATTATTATTATTTAATAATTTCTCTTCTCAAACTCGAACAAACCAAATAAAAATAAAACAGAAGCCAACGACTTCCAATACAGTCAATTAGAATTAAACGGTGTGTTTAATTTACCTTCCACCTCTTCCTCTTGGAGCTCCACCTCTAGAAGCGCCACCTCTATGTCCTCCGTACCCACCTCTGCTCAATGTTTTTGCCATAGTAAACAATAGTTTCGAGAGTTGAGCATTTCCGCTATTTGATTTCTTAGCAAGTCCCATTTTGTTAGTTCTCTTCTTCTCGACGGTGATTTCTCGATCGTTCAACTTCGACCCCGTCAGACTAGTCACCGCTCGTTCTCGCGATTCAACCGAATCCAATTCGATGTACGCGTACGCCTTAGGTTTACCGGCTTTGTCGACTGGAATAGTAACGGTCTTAACATCTCCAACCGTCGAGAACAGTTGTTCCAACTGCTCTTTAGTGATCGAGTAGTCCAAGTTCCTCACACAAATCGAGCGATTGTCTCGCTCTTTCTGGAGATCGATGTCCGGTTGTGCCGCAATCGCTCCTCCGTGCGTGATCGATCCTTTCGGCATAACGGAACGTGGAACCTTAGAACCAACTGTGTCCTCTTCCATGCGGATCGGTTGCGACACGGCGTTAGAGCTTAAATTGGTATTATTGAATATAAGACGTTTATCCATGTCTTCGACTCTTTGCTATTTCTAGTTACTCCTTATTAATTACTCTCTTTTCGCCAAGGGGGGTTGTATCATATATTTACTATATTTTTACTATTCTCTGGTGATTATTTGTAGGTTAATGTGTTTTTTTATTAGTTAGGTCACATTTGTTATCATATCTATCTTTTCGGGAAATTGCGAGATGAGAATCACCTCATAACTGGATTTATTTGGTATTTTTTATTATAAATTTACTATAATTTGTTTGTCTAATTATAGTTTGTGAACCAACAGAAATAAGTTTATTAATTCTTTAATTATTATACTTATTATTATCAAAATTCAAAATGTTTTAATAGTTCATTATTAATTTATTGTTTTTGGTAATTAAATTATAATAAACTTTTTATATAAATAAATAGTAAATTTTTCATTTTGTATCTCTCTCATTTTACAATGTGATTGTCAAATGTTCGCACATGTATAAATTTGAAGCTGCATTTTCCAAGTAAACTGTCATCAAACACACATTACCGACAAGTACTCTCTCCAAAAATTCTGAAAACTCCTTAACATTTTTAATTCCCCACATCTCTATAATTTGTTTCTATCAGTCATCTAACTATATCCTTATAACTTTTTAACTATATTTGAATCATATAAAAACATGACAAACAATGAGCGTTCCACAAAAGACAATCTTGAATTTTTCCGACTTAGTATTTAAGCAATCAACTATCATTTTACTTCCCACAACTTCTTCAAGATTTTGACAACTTTCGTTCCATTCCACCTTTTTGATTTTTATACTCAACACAATCCTCTCATTCTCAACAAGTTCCACTCCGTCTCCGCTCTTCACTCGTCCCTGTAAAAACCCCTCGATGTCGATCTCCTTCCCAAACACCTCCTTCTTGCGTAACCCTATTTCAAACCCTTTCCTTTTCCTAAATTCGCTGTTTTTTTCTTCTTTTTTTTCTTCGTTGATTTGTGAGTAAAGAAGATCACTCGCGGCAATTTGTGATTTTCCTGCGTTTAAGATGTCGTCAATTGTGAGTGGTGATTTTTGCTTGTTAACAACATAAAGATCTTGTGTGTTCAATTCCTCTTCTTGATGATTCATGTCATCAAGCAGCCACTTGCGGCTTTTTTTCTCTTTTTCTCTCAAAATCTCGTCGTCACTTTTTCGTGTCACTTTTTTCGAGGAATCAAAAAGTTCTTTCATCTTAAAAGCACCCGACGAGGGGTGTCGGGTTTTTAGTTTCTTTTCGTCTTTCACTTGGACAGAAGCGTGGAGGTCGGTCACACTTTTTTGTATCTCTGGAAGACTATGAGTTTTTTCGATTGACTTTTTCTTTTCTATTTTCTCACTTTTTGTTTTTATTAGGTTTGGTTTCTTATTTTTTTCTTGTTCGACCCGAAGATATTCCAAATCCATTGACTTTATGACATCTTCAATGTCGTCATTGTTCAAACTATTTTGTCTTTTCAAAGAATCATTTGGTTGTTTTGAGATTGGAGGAGTTGATGATTTGAGTGTTTGTGCTTCACTTTTCACATTTTGACATTCCTCAATCTCCATCATTGTGACATTTCCATTCGTTTCGTTCTGGTTTGGATGCACAGAGTTGTCAAGATTTTCTTTTTTTTCAAAAATGGGATTTTCAAGTTTGTTCACTTGATTTACTTCCGTTTTCACTTTGACGTTTTCGGTTTTTATTTTTGCTTTTTCTACCTTTTTTTCGGGTGTTTGTTGGCTGTCTGAAGCCGAAGCGTTTAAATCTATTTCTTTTTCTTTGTTTTCGACTTTTTGCTCAATTTTGTCTTCTGTTTTCAAGTTCTGAGTTTTCGTTTCGTTCAAAATGAAATTAATATCTTGTGATTTTAATTCCAAATTCGCCTCTTCAAATATCTTCAATTTTTCTGCAATGACATTTTCTTTTTCGTTTTGTAAATCACAGTTTTGAGTTATTTCCTCAATCTCTTTTTGGCTCTTTCCCATTTCTTTTAGCAACATTTCAAAAAAAAATTCGTTTTTCATTGCATTTTTGAGTAATTCTATTTTCTTTCGTATCACCAAAATGTTGTTATCCTCCAAATGTTCCACATTATTTCGTTTTGTTCCAATTGCGACTTGTTTTTCGTCAAATTCAAAATTTTCTATTTTAGTCCAACCTTTCTCAATTTGACTTTTCTCATCTTTTAAATCTTTGGAATTTTCATTTATGATGACTCGAAATAATCTCCCCGTTCCAACAAACCCATCTGCGTCAAAACTTTCTCTTTGAGTATTAGTATAAGTATTAATAGTATCTTCGTCATATCCTATAAATATAAACGCCTCAGATCTCGGTATTTCAGTAACTCTAACGACATACCCGATAAGATCCAAATACTTTCCACTAAAAAATAAATCTTTAAAATTTCGTGCGTCTACAAAATCGATATTTTTCGTTCCGTTTTTATATCTGACGTTTTTAAAGAGTGCTTCGTCTTTTTCTGTGATTTTCAATATCTCATTGTCGAGATCACCTGTTTTGAATATGACTTTTTCGTTCTCCAAAAAAACGACAACTTGAAATTTACGAGCAAAAGTTCCGTTCCCAACGTCAAGAACACATCCATTTTTTGTATCTTCGTCTTTTCCTTTTCTATATTTTGTTACAGGAATGTTAATAAAAATGGCTTTGTGATGTGGTTTAAAATAATCCAACGAAAATTGAATCTCTAATTTTCGTTTTTTCTGGAACATCGTTTTGGAAAAGTTGACAACAACGTAATTTTCGTCTTCTCCTACAATTATATAATAATTATCTTTTATTATGGCCGTAGATATAATCTCCCCACAAAACCATTTATTTAAAAGATTCGTGTCAATATTTTTGATGGAAACTCGCTTACTCAAAAAGTGATCAGGAAAAACTGACCGTGCAATAACCTCTTTCGGTTGACTCATCAAATAGTTTTATTTGATTTTAGTTTAGTTGTTGAATTATTCCTCAATTCATTGATTTAATTCTTGTTATTATTATTTTAGTTGTTTATCGTTTAGAAACAAACGTTATTTAAAAACTAACAATATATAGTTTATAATACCATACTTTTTAAATAATAAAAATTTAAACTGATGAAAAATATAACGAGTTGTTTTTAATTAACACACTAAATTAATTAACGAATAGTTTTTTTCAATTTTAATCTTACTTTTAATCATTTTATTAAAATAAAATCATATAATTAATATTATGTTAAATTATTAAAATTATATTAATTTTTTAAATATTTAATTTTAAATTATCAATTTAAAGACCAACAGAAAATTGTCATACACTTGTGTTTTTAGTATCAAACAAACCAAAAAAATCGGGAATATTTTTTCACATATAAAATTTGACTAAGCAATCAGGAAAAAAAAATGGGTTTTGAAAAAATAAAAACCCGACTTTATACAGAAAAATACCTTAAAACAATGTGTACGATTATTTTCTGGTGCTCTTTATTTGTTAAATAATTTAAAAAAACTATACAACATTTGGTTATTATAATTCACACAAATACTATTATATAGTAATTTTAATTATAAAAAAAACTAATACCCTTCTTTCCAATTAATTCATAATTCTTCCTGTTTTTGAAACTATACTTTGTATTTTCTGAATGAGCTCATAGTCGTTATTTAAATCATCGACTTTGATATGGTTAATATATTTAAAAGTATCATCGATGACCCATGATTCTAAATATGGATTTTTATTTCTAATATAATCTTCTTTAAGTGCTTCATAGTCTTGCAAATTAAAGACTACAAACATCTGACTTCCTTCCATTTTGCGTTCGATGATTTGCTCAGCCATTCCACTCTCACAAAATTGCTTCATATCAGTCCATCCCATACTCTCACAGATATCATTTCTATAACACTCATAATACGATCGGATCGTGAATTTACTTGGGATCTCAAATATCGAATTATACTCATTCGAGTCAAAGCAAAACATTTTTAGATCTTTCATTTCTTGCCAAAAGTCATTTGGCGCATCACCGACAACTACTGCTTTGTCATCACACAGTTCGTTTAACACTTTTTTGCCTTGTTGTTTCCATAACGTGACATTTCGGCGTTCGAAAAAGTCGACGTAAATCTTTCGTAAATCTTCTTTCGTGTTGTCATCAAGTTCCAAAAACGAAGAAAGCGTTTCTAACATAAAAGGCGTTGGGACGTATTTGTCATTCAATGAGTACATGCACACATTTTTCACTAACTTTTTCAATCCCAAAATGATCTTTTTATCACTCGCCCGACTTTCCCGAAGTCCCGTTTTATTAGAGATATCTTCCTCGGATCTGTAATTTGGCGCCAAATTAAACGTCCCATTCTTATTATCGACTAAATAATTTTCTATCACAAAATCTTTGTCCTCCCCAAATAACAATTCTAATGTGTGATCTCGTATATATGGGTATATCAATCTGTCCACGTCATTGATGCCTTTATAGGACAACTCTTGCCGGGTATACCCGTTTTGTGGGTCGAAAAAGCCCGTGTTTTTATTATCTATCATTTCCCAAGCTCTGAAATACAAAATAGTATTCTCTAGTTTTATAATCGGAAATATAGTTTTGTATAATTCCATTCGGGTTTTGAGCAGAGTGAACCCATCTCTTTCCATCTCACTCCAATTGTACGGAACGCCGAAGTATTCATTGGTTTTGGGATCTTTGATGGAACGGTCAACCTTGAAAAGGTTTGCGTGGATCCACGTGTCAACGGAAAAGTGATCAACTGAGAACGCGAGATTGCACATCAACCCAACGTGATTGGTTTTGGCGTAATGAGAAGAACATTTCAGCTGTGAAAAAGCAGTGAATTGCAGGAAGACATTATACACACACTCATGTGTCTGATTCAAAACGACCTTTTTAAGATTCTCGAGTGTTGGAGCACACTCCATTCCAACCGTTTTGAACACGATGTATGGAAGAAGCCACGACCGATTTTCCGAAACAAACTTCTCGACGTCGGTGGTTCCAATCTCATCACTAAAGAGTATCTTAGTAACCGTGGTGTAGTCGTTTTGGTGCTTATCAAATACGGCTCGCAATACACGTTCTTTAACCTTGATGACCTTCTCGCGATCAACCCAATTGAAGTCTCCAATTTCAATTTTTCCAGCAAGGATTAATTCTTTGATATCCTCTGAGTTGTCGAGAGAAGAGACGTTGATCAGCATCGGATCAATTGCGTTGAGACTCATTGGAGTCGAAGGGTTCTTTTCGTAATCGTTTATGCTCAACAACTCGACTACACTCAGACCACTTTTCACGCAGAAGTCAACCACTTTTTGAATGTCAAGAAGATCCCCACAACCAAGAGAGTTACTTCGAATTCCAGAAACGCTAATTTTGACACCAGCAGACTTGTAGCATCCAGGGAAGATCACTTTATCTTCTTGATACACGACGGCTTTCTGTGAACCGATCAAACCACCTACAAGGGGCGCAAACAGTCTATTTCCACCATTTTCCCAATAGACCTGACCCTTCTTCGAATTTTTCATGAAAAATTTGTACTCAAAAGGACAGCGAATTTCGGTGATCGGAATTTGACATTCCCACCAAGAGTTCCCAGCGCTTTTGAGCAGAACAGCTTTGTTTGTGTCCCACTTGCCAAATAGCGCGTGACCGCCAGTGGCATAGACGTTGTACCCAGAAGGAATACTTTCCCATTTCACTCGCAAAACAACATATACAAATGGAGGAGTTAGTTTGTCCAATGAGAATCGTTCTTCTACTGGACGTGAGTACACAAAGTCGTGGAAAAACTTTGGGGAAAACGGTTCAAATATGTCATTCCATTGGTCGCGCAATTCGACTGCGACGTCTGGAGTTGAAAATGATGGAAAAAGATGTGGGAAAGTTTCTTTGCGGAGTAAAACAGACCCCGAAAACTCACTATAGTAATATGGGCTATTTTTTGTGTAATTGGGAATGGTTACAGTCCATTCGTTGTCGTCGTTGGAGTAAACCATGTCAAACGACGAGGACTGCGTGAGGACCTTCAAATTGTGGCCGTATGGCAAAAGGCGAGAAACTGAAAGGCGAGCTGACATCTTAAATTGTTATTTTTAAGTTACATTTCGTCATTTATAAGTTATTTTTTTCGTGTTTTTTTTTACAATTTTTCGATGATTAACAGTTCAAAAATTTATCAATTGCCGTTTATGAATAATTTTCAATCTCTTTTTCTATATAACCCATTTAATTCCAATACTTTTCTTTATTGTTTTTTTTGATGGACAAAGACGGGTTTCTGGTAATAAAAATAATAATCATCATAGAAATAGAGTTGGTACGGATAATAGAAATTTCCGTTTAAAATTTTTGAGTTCGATTGAAAACAAATGGTTTTTGGAATAAAATTGATAACTAATAATAATAACAAAAATATTTTTTTGGTCAATTCTTATTTGTGTTATATTTTATTAATTTTTTTATTAAAATATTTAATAAGTTTTCAGTTAATTCCAAACTATTGAGTTAGTTTTTATAAATTCCACTTTTATTCATTGTTATTAATAAATATTATTTTTATAACTATTTGACATCATTTGCAAACAAATTCCATTTCAATAATATATAGTTAAATAATAATTTAAATTATTAAAAATGTAATTATAAAAAGTGATATTTAAAATTTCTTTTTATAACCAAATTGTTGTATTATATATTATAACAAATTAATAATAACAATTGATACATTAAAAACTACAGTTAAGGCTAAGAACATAAATTAACGACATTAGAACTCACAAGAAAAAATCCCATCAGACTCATTCACACATTCGTCTTTAATAGAATCGCTTCCATCAAGAGAAACAGTTTTAATATGATGTTTGAGTCCATTTTCTATAGGGGAATCCAAATTAAGATCTTCAGATAATTCGGAGTCACTGGACAAGTCTGAACTCTCAGTCAAAGCTGGTGACGTGGATCGTTTAGGTGGATCACATAAAATAAGAGAAGTGATATCAAAATCATCATCTTCGGAATCGATTGAGATTCTTTTTGCAAAACGAGGGCGGATCAATTCGACTGTCATTGAGTGAATGAATAAAGAAAGATTTGTTTTTATAGTTTGGAATTACTTTGACCACCGACTCTTGTAAATTCCCAACTTTTTGTTACTCGTTTTTTCACTTAGAGTTTATCTTGGGAGGTTTGTTAGCATTTGATGT